TAACTATGTTATTTTTATTGATATGACGTGTTTTTTGATGTTAATTTATTTTTAAACTTTTTTTTTAGGATCGTTGGGCACTCTGAATTTCATTCTTTCAAAAGCATTAAGCATTTCTATATTAATAAGTGAGGTATTTTTTCTAAACTATTTTTCAGATGAGCAAAATTTTTCTTCTCTGAAAGAACAAAAATACCTCATTTATTAATACATGATACCCAACATTCTTTGAAGGAAAGAAAATATAGGAAAAAAATGCATTTAAATCCAAAAAAATATAAAACTTTTTTAAAAACATGTAAAGATAAAGTGTAAACTAACAAAGTAATAATATTACTCAACGGTATCAGGTCAGCAAAAAAAAAAAAAAAAGCATAGTTATCAAGTGTCTTTTTGATTAGTATTGTGCTGTTAATTAATAATTAGTCTATTCATTAGTATATTTAGCTCGCAAGGAACGCGAATCGTGTGACGTGCGTGCGATCAATAAAATAGCAAGAGGATGAAGTGTGTATTTGAATTTCTTAGCCAACCAATTAGAGATGATTTTTAGAGGGAAAAAAAAAGATATAAAAAAAGCGGAAACTAACTTTAGCACTTGAATATATCAACAAACAGTTAAATCCAAACTTAGCATCGATAATTAAATAGAGAAATAGATGAAGAGAATTGCCACCATTAAAAGAGAGATAGCTACTCATAATTAAAGAACATCGATCTTTATGGTTGACTCATGCTTTCACTCTCTTTCAAGTTTCAACTACCTTCAACCTAAAAACTTAACTTCTAGATTAGCTAGCACATGGCGTCAGTGTAACAACTACGTTAATTTATGATGTAATGTTGTCGGTATTTTATCCACAGGCTGCTCCAAGCAAAGGAAGTAGACATGTGATGGACGTAATCAAGTTCTGCATTATTTTTATGTATCCTTCCTAACCTTCAACCTTTAATTTTCACGTGAGACATCAAATTCGTAGATTATTCATTCTTAAGCAATGTACATGAAATATGAAATATTTATCTGGCGCTTATCCAGATCTCAAATGCTAAAACGAGGCCACATCATTCAATTCCAGCTGTGTTGGGATTATTTTAAAGTCGTTCATGCTTAAAGCCAAACCAAATGGACCGGAATAGTATGTAAAGATGACTGAATCAAACAGAAAAATGAGAAAAAAAAATAAAGAGAGAATTACATTTAATAATTACTCACTCAAATTATTTACAAATAAAGATTAACAACGAGTCTCCTTTAAGAAAAAATAAATACTTTTTTATTTTAACAATAATTTATTTCGTTGGTCCTTAACTATGAATAACTTTTTTGAATGGGCCTTAAATATGATTCTTCAAAAAATATAACCTGATAAATAGAATTCAATCCAGATCAATTTGATTTCTTTTTATTCTACTTCAATTCAATTTCTCCACTTGCGTTTTTTCTGTCAAGAAATATAATGTCTTTTATAACAATAATTTATATACAAATTCAGACAATTTAATAATTAATCTATGTTATATACGAAGCAAGCAAATCAAGAAACAAGCATGATAGTTTAATTTAAATCTTGTTATATATTGATATGAGTCAATATTTACAATTGTTTTCTTTTTAAAATTTTGACCGTACTTAACTGTCATGAATTCATTATTTTAAAATTTTAATGTCATTTTCCCTATATTGATTAGAATTTAATATCAATTAAATTGCCTATATAAAATAATTACACAGTTAATAATTTATAAACAACATTAGCTGAAATTTTCTAGCAATATCAAGAAATTTTTAATTAAATACTAGGGAGAAAACTACAGAATCTCGTTGGAAGGAAAAGAAAAATAATTTATGCATAATCAAACATTTCCTTTTATAAAAGGAGACATGCACCACAAGCACGTGCAAATATGTCAATGACAAGTTTAAACTTGGATATCTTAGGCAAGGTTTTAAGACCCGGATCGATCCGGACGGTCGGACCGTCGCCCGTTGAAGAAAACGGGCTGGTTCAACCAATTAACCCGGATTAGCAGTTGGCCCGGGTTGGACCGCCTAGAACTGGACGGGTTTTAAAGACTCGAGAAAAACCCGGAACCCGAGCGGGTTTTACGGGTCAACAGCAGGTCGCAAAAAAATGACAAAATTGATATTTTTAAAAATAAAAAACCCTTCTCCTCACTCTGTCTAGCAGACCAACACCTATAAGGACCCATTCTTCTTCTTTTTAGTCTCACTTCTCTCTGTCTCGCACAATGCACGCATTCATTCTCGTCACCTTCTCAAATCTCAGCCATTTGGGTTTTGTTCTATGTGTCTCCCTCAAGCCACTCAGCCTTCTGGGCTCTGTCTTCACCGTTCAGCTATCTTGGACTCGCTTTCTCAATCATTTGGGTTCTATGTTCACCCTTCATTGTCTTCACCATTTAACTTTAGCCATCTCAAACTCTCTCAAACTTCAAATGCTTATTTATCTTCATCTTCACTTCACTTTCTTCATTTTGATTTTGACTTCGTGTTCTTGGTTAACTCTAGTATAGGCATCCAGTTGTTGAAAACAGTCAGATGGCGTCGAGCTCGACCCTTTTCATGATTCTTCATCTTCTTTGTTGATTGCTCTCTCTCTCTCTCTCTCTCTCAGTCCCGGTGAGATTTTCTTTCTCCCTCATTTATATCTTTACCCAATTTAATGTAATTTGTATGGTTCTAAATGGAGTAGAATGAATGCTAATAGATGAGCTTGCTTTTTATTATCTGAGCTGTTTATTGCAAAATGAAGGATTGTTGAATGGATGAAGATGAATCTATTTTTTATTGTCTAAGAGTTGTTTATTGCAAATAGAAGTTTTATTTTTTTCAAGTGATTATGCCTAAATCCTAATGCATTCAAGAATCTAGTATTGTATTTTTGTTAACTTTTTCTTTTATATATACATATATAAATAATTTTTTATTTAATTATTAGGTCACCGGTCCAACCGCCGGTCTGACCGGTTGAACCATAAGACCCGTGACCCATTGATATTTCTGATTCACTGTCCGGTCCGGTTTTAAAACATTACTCTTAGATAGATTACACTGTCACTAATACTAATACTGTATTGACAAATTCAATCAAATTAGTTGGGATTGGCTAAACTTAGGGTATGTTTTGATAACATTTCAACTGAAGTTTGGGTGGTCCAACTAAGGTTTGGAAGAAAACATGTTTGGATAGAAAGTTTTTCAAAAGGAAGAGCTTCGGAAGAAAAAGCCACGTTGAGATGGAAACTCAAAAATAGAGCTTATCACGTCGGGCGGTCACGTTGGGCATTCATCACCATCTTTCCCTCACCTGACGCACGCGTGCCAGTTCACCCTGAAGTCTATCATCTCTTTCATCTTCAATTATACAATAATTTAATGATTGACAATATAAGATATGTGAAAAAAAAACATGTTTCATTATGTAGTTTATTCTTAAATTATTTTTATTATTTCTTGAATAAATTTTTTCTTTATTTCTCGTTTTAGCATTTTTTTAATTTATAAACACAGTTTAACTTTTATAATGTAATATTTATTAATATATTTAATATTTTGTATTTCACAAACAATACTTAATTATACATATATATTTTTAAAATATTTATCATAAAATTCTTGTCCTTTTTGTCCATTATACATCTAAAGTTTATCATTTTTTCTAAAAATATCAAATGAGTCACAAAATATATATGTGTATATAATAAAATCATATCATTTTTGTCATAAAAATATTTATTTTAGCTTTTATATAATTAAATATTTTATTTTTATTATTTAATTCTACTTTTTTAAAAAATAATATTTTTAATTTATCAATGTTTTTTATATTTGTAATATATATTTATTAAAATATTTAATTTTATTCAATATTTTTCAGTCAAAAAAATATACTACAAGAAAACTCACATATATTTTAACTAACTTTTAAAATATATCATTCAAATAAATTTTAATTTATTTAATTGACTTTTTTTAAAAAATATTTAAATATATATCATGTTAAAATTACAAATTTTTCTCATAACCTCATACTATTAGTCTCAATTGATTCTAATATCAATTATGAATATTGTAATTAAAACACACACTTAAGAGCTAGCAGTTCAATGACCAAATCAAAATTGTTTATTCATGCAAATGACTCAATCGAATCAAACGAGGTTAACTACAGTGATATGTAAATGAGGGGGAGGGCAGTGGGAGAATTCGAGTCTGTTTTGGCTTTGCGATTGCTCTGTGATTTCTCCCTCCTCCACGTCTCCGGATAAAGCCCCTCCTGCCACGTCACGTACCCCAAAGCCGGCACCTCTTCCCCTCCCTTCACTTGTGAAGCTCTGTCCCATTTCTTTATTCGAGTTTTCCGGCGCCTCTATCTAAATTTTCTCCGCATTTTTGGATTCCCTATATGGCCGTTAAGTTGCCCCGCAACAGTTTTGTATCCTTCAGGTTAATTTCCATCCTATTTCTCTATTCATTTTGTCTCATCGAATTTTGGTCCGTCAGATTGCTTTGTTCAGTAGTCTTGGACGCTGCTAGGTTTTAACTCGTCTCTTCTTTTATATGCAAGCTGTGTTACTTAGCTTATTAGATACTGATGAGGAAGAAAGAAGGCGATTTTTATATTTTTTCCCTTTTCTTTTTTAATGAAGCTATTGATTGATATGCACATGTATTTGTCTGGATTTCACAACCCCGAAATAGTTTAGCTGCATGAACAGCTGCACTTTTTTTTTTTCCACCCACGGTCTCCCTTGATGTTAGTTATTCCAAAAAACTCTTCATGCGTGCATTCAGTGTATGTCATCATTAATTGCATTTTTTTTGGCAGTTCTTCAAATCCTTCCGCGTCACAGAGTCCACACGATTTCCCTTATTTGGGCCAAAAAGCGTCTGATTTGCATTGCCTTCTTAGTAAGTGGGGTAGTTCAAGAAAGAGTTGCCTCATTAGACACGCTTTATTGTCGAATAATGACTGTGGACCGGGGGTTATAGAAAACACTACTTAACGTCTTCTAAACCTAAAAGGAGAGTATTCCACCTCCCATTTGCATCTGCTGATGATGGTGTGACTGTGAATGGGAGCCCCCAAGCAAAAGCCAGTACAGACCTTGAGAAAATGAGGATGAAACTGAACAAGTCATTGGAAGACGAAGATATTTGTGATGGACTTCTCCAATCTTTATATGATGCGAGCAGGGTTTTTGAGCTTGCAATTAAAGAGCAGAGCATGTTTTCAAGAGCATCTTGGTTTTCAACTGCTTGGCTTGGAATAGATCAAAATGCGTGGGCAAAGACACTATCATATCAGGTATTGTCATTTATGCTATTCAACAGTTGTTCGGGTATATCATGTGTAATGCATGACTTACCTTTAGTGCCTTCGAAATTTGGACAAATATGCCCTGCAATAACCTGGAAATTTCTTGTCTGATTCATGTGACGTGTTTGATAAGTGTTGAAAGTAAGAAGAGTCATCTTAAAAATTATTGTTGGTGTTCTGAGAGAAAACAAACTATCATATGTCAATATCCAAAGCATATGCTTATGGTCATGTGAAGAAGCTCTTCTTAATCATGTGCCTAAGGGCGTGGATATCAAAGTCAATATAGTGTATTATCTATTCTTATTGCCTGTCAGTATCCTTGAGTTATATCTAGGCTAGAATGTCTCAGAAAATTTCTCAGTGAGAAAGCACAGAGTGCATCAAAAGGCAAGAACCTAACTACCATTCTTTACTGTTAACTTTCAAAAGCACTTGTGTGACACAGATACTGACAGGCAATAAAAAGAATGACACGTTTCATCAGAGTCCTTAGTAATTGAATTGACCAAACTTTAGGGGGAATTATTGAAGTAATTGGATTAGCAGTTCTTCATTGAGTCCTCTCTTCACAACTTTTCAAATGTTTGCAAATTCATGCTTGATATTTCCATCTGTTAAAGTAATGCTTTATCTTTCTTGTACAATAAATTGAGTTGATAGTTTTTGCACTTACGAAAACGCTAAACGTTCACATTTGTGTTTGTTCTTCTACTCTGGGTAATTTAGTGTTGTCGTCACAGTTGTTAGAACTTAGGACCAATTAGGTCCATCTCACGTTCTAGATTATCATTCCTTGAGGAACTATCTTACTTGGACAAATGTAAAACATTAATATTGTTTGCATTAAGCTAGGTATTGTTGATGCACTTTCCTTCCATCATAATTGAATGTGGTTAATGTTTCTTCTGTTGCCAGTGTTTTAAAGTAATGTCACAATTTTCCCACCATTGCATTTGTCATTTCTCAGCCAAGCTAATTGTTTTCGCACATTTCTTTTTTTTAAAAAAAAAAAAACTGGGAAAAATTGTTGCAATAATTCTCTCAGGCTGCTGTGTACTCCTTATTGCAAGCTGCAAGTGAAATTTCATCCCAAGGTGATCATGGAGACAGAAATGTCAATGAACTTGTTCAGCGGAGGTAATGTGGTGCTTAGTATTATATGTTGATTTTTTATCAGATATTGTTCGTGTGAATCTTGGGTAAAAAAAACTACACTCCCTTATCAGAAAGAAATAGACATGTTATTTGGCAACATGTCTACAAACTGTTAGTGTGCATCATAATGATGAATCTGTATTTCATAACCGATGCTGCTTTATGTATTCAGTGAAATCAGCTATTTATTATGATAATAACCATCTGGCATAAATTTATGTTTGTATTTGTTGAGGTTGAAAGCTTGTGTTGTGCCTTTCAATTGGAAGTGCTTTTGGAATGGACTAGTACTGAATTTTAGTTACTTCAGGTTGTCACCCTTACTCAAAAGTGTTTGTGCATATGTAAGTTTCTTTATGAATGAATGAATCAGTTTCTATTAAAAAAAAAAGTTTGTGCTGGAATTTGACTTTTCTGCTTGTTATTTATGTATTTTTGTCATGCTTGTGTTCTTAATTAATCATTTCTTTATGTCTTTTTATGTTTAATTGAATATTGTACACTACTTTCTAGCTGATTTGGGGCTTAAACTTGTTTCAATGTGCATTGGTCCAGTTTACTGAGGCTATCTGCTCCCCTAGAGAGCTTAATCAGAGAAAAGCTATCGGCCAAACAGCCAGAGGCACATGAATGGTTTTGGTCTGATCAAGTTCCTGCTGTTGTGACATCTTTCATCAACAAGTTTGAAGGAAAAATTTGCTTCACAGCTGCCACTTCTTTGTATGTGCCACTATTGTGCTTTGATATATGGAGATACTAGCTTTCATTGCTCCCCTCGTTTTATTTTTGAAGACAATGTGGAAATGATCTTTTAACTAAATTCCCAGGTCTGGAAAGAAATTGTCTTCAGGTTTTGACAGCGGACATGATATCTCACTTCTCATGCTTGCACTAACCTGCATTGCTGCAATCACCAAACTTGGACCAGCAAAAGTTTCTTGTTCACAGTTCTTTTCTATGATTACGGAGATAACTGGTGGTTTGATGAACAAGCTGGCTGATTTAATTCCTATAAGTCAAGCTTATAATTCTCTAAAGGAAATTGGTCTACATAGAGAGTTTCTTGTTCATTTTGGTCCACGAGCTGCTGCATGTAGAGCAAAAGTGGAGTGGGGTTCAGAAGAGGTTGCATTTTGGGTAAATCTTGCCCAGTTGCAGTTGCACAAAGCTATAGATAAGGAGAAAATATGGTCAAGACTGACAACATCTGAATGTATCGAGGTTAGTTATGTTTATTTTTAACTTTGAAGGCAGCTGACCTTGGTTTTGACTCCCTTCTTAAGGTAGGTGGTTGGGCGGAGAATCTATGGTAGGGGCTCAAGACAAATATGAAGGAAAAGGAGGAATCTATTAAATTAAATAGAACAAGGATCTCACTCTACTGAACTTAGTAGCCAAATAGGAGAATCTCCAAGGGAAAAACAAGGTTTATTAATTTCAGATGTCCCACTGTCATACCAACCAGGATATTTATAACCAGAAATTACAATTAAATAAATCAAATAGTGCAGATAATTAGCCTAAAATCAGGAAATAACTGACTAGCATGTTGGTACCCCACTAACAAAGTGAAGGTCCTATTATTCAGCTACTAACAGTTACTAATAGTAAAACAAAACAATAATTAATTAAAATAACAGTAAGGAATTAATTTAAATAAGGTAAATCCCTCATAATCTGCATAACAGCATCTGATTCTGTTATCTTCCTTCTCTTTCTGCGTTGATAAGTGATTATAGGCCTGTTATGCTGACTTGGACCCTTATCATTACTCCCCCCTGAAAAAACGACTTGTCCTCAAGGCAGAAAATGGGAAACTGTTGGGCAAAAAGATCATAATCTTCCCAACTTGATTCTTCCTCTGGTCTGGATGCCCATTTGATTAATAGCTCCAACTAAGAACCCTTCCAGCAATGAGATATAACAATTTCAGGTTCCAGAACAAGCTCATAATCAGGGGAGAATGGTAAATCTGCTGGAGGATCAAGAGGGGACTTTCCGTGAGGTGGTCGCAGTAATGAAACATGAAAAACCGGATGAATTTTAGCTATTGATGGTAGCTGCAATTCATAGGCCACTGCTCCAATTTTGCGTATGATTGTATAAGGTTCAAAGAAACGAGGCGAGAGCTTGTCATACTTTTTATAGGACAATGAACGCTGCCTGAAAGCCTTTATCCTCGAGAAAACCGCATCTCCCACCTTAAAAGAGAGCTCACGTTGATGATGATCTGCATAAGTCTTCATTCTTTGTTGGGCTTTGTTCAAATTATCCCTAAGGAGTTGTAACATATGATCTCTAGTTTCAGTTGGTCAGCAAGCTCAGCAATGTGAGTTTCACCCTTGATGAAAGGATGAAGTAGAGGTGGGTCCCTACCATATGCCACTTTCAAAGGGGTAGTATTAGCAGAAACATGGAAACTAGTGTTGAATGAGAATTCAGCCCAACCTAAGAACTTACTCCATGAACGTGGTTTCTCATGCACAAAACACCGTAAATATGTCTCAAGGCAATGGTTTACTACTTTCCATAGTCTCGTCTTCTTCCTCTGCAACAGTAATAGAATTTTCTGATATGGGTTGCCCATCCTTGTCGATCTCCATGGTGAGAAGGATGAGGATTTGCAGCGATGCCTAGGCCGGAAGACGTCTACACAACAGTAACAAAGCCCCTTATCCCTGCGATGCTGCTGTTTGGCATTCGAGAGCAGAGATTGTGGCTGGATGGTGTTCGTTGGTCTCGGATTCGAGAAAGACGCAGGAGAGTTTCTTAACATGTTGGGCGAGAAGGCTGTGGCAGCACCCGGTTGATTATGTGCGAACCTATTGGAGCTGTTAGTGGACCGAGTTTGGGTCAAGGAAGAGCTAGGCTTTGGCCCACGATGCAGCTGTAATTTTTTCTCATATTCTAGTGCTAAACTAGCAGCTTTATACATTGTGCGAGCCTTTTGAATATGCACATCAGATTTCAGGTCATCTCTGAGTCCTTCAAGAAAAACGCCTAATAGACAGTGTTCTAGCCAGTTATGAACTCGTGCGACTTGTTTAGCAAATTCCTGGCGATACTCTTGCACTGATCCGGTCTGCTTGATGGTGGCTAGGTGTTCATCAGGATTTTGATACTTTGGAGGGGCCATAGTGTTCTTGCAGTGCTTTAACTAACTCCTCCCAATAAATCAAGGCATGTTCTGAATTTATCCATGAGAATAAATCCAAAGCATCTCCTTCTAAATAAATGGAAGCCACATCAACCTTCAAATCTTCTAATGTTTGATAATACCTGGAATATTTTTCAACCTTCAGAATCCAATCACGTGGGTCACCTCTACTAAATTTTGGGAATTCAATTTTGTTGTGTGGTGGACATGGACCCCTTCTATAGTCTGACTCTTCATCACTATCTTTGTCCCAGTGTGAGCGTCTATGATAGCTTCCCACGGGTCTTTTTCCTTTGCTGGCAAATAACTCAAGTGCTCCAACCTTCTCTTTTAATAAGTCAAGTGTTTCAAGTCTGGCTGCAATGCGGATTAAAGGGTCTGATGCAAATGGATTTTCAGTATTTTGACCTTAGGTGGGTTGTTAAAGGAGTTGGCATGGTCAGTTTCATTTCCGGAGCGTGTGGTCACTATAATGATCGAACAAGGCTCGGATATTTGGCAGGGGCTCAAGACAAATATGAAGGAAAAGGAGCAATCTATTAAATTAAATAGAGCAAGGATCTCACTCTACTTAACTTAACAGCCAAATAGGAGAATCTTCAAAGGAAAAACAAGGTTTATTAATTTTAGATGTCCTGCTGTCATACCAGCCAGGATATTTATAACTGGAAATTACAATTAAATAAATCAAATAATGCAGATAATTAGCCTAAAATCAGGAAATAACTAAGTAGCACGTTGGTATCCCACTAACGAAGTGAAGGTCCAATTATTTAGCTACTAACAGTTACTAACAGTAAAACAAAAACAATAATAAAATAACAGTATGGAATTAATTTAATTAAGGTAAATCCCTCATAATCTGCACAACAGCATCTGATTCTGTTATCTTCTCTTTCTGCATTGACAAGTGATTATGGGTCTGTTTTGCTGACTTGGAGCCTTATCAATCTAAGCCCAAGATTTAGTTAGAATGTTTAGAGCCACAGCCAAACTATCATGACAAGAACATTCCATATGATGTCCTTGCAATGAATTTTTTTGTACGAATTTTGTTTTTTGTTTTCCAGCTTTTTGTTTCTGACTGTGAATTTATTTTAATAACATTGAGTTGATATTTGTAGTACATGACTTAGTATTAGTCTTGGAGAATTATGCTGTATGAGTGATATTTTGCAGTCTTTCCTAAAATTTGGTGGGCCTTGAAACAGAAATGTGTTGCTAAATTTCTAATATTGTCAATTGTTGATCCACGATAACACTGAAAGGAAGGGGTGATGATGATTTTAATTGACCACCATAGATGACTCTATACCTCTTGAAGCATGCTGTGCTTTGCTAGAATTTGTTATCTGTAAATACACAAGCTGTGATTGAATGTTCGTGTAATGCAGGTTTTGGAGAAGGATTTGGCTATATTTGGTTTTTTCATTGCTTTAGGCAGGAGTACTCAATCCTTTCTTTCTGCAAATGGTTTTGATACCCTAGATGATTCAGTTGATGATTGCATCAGGTATGGTTTTGTTCTGATTTCCCTTTCCCTTTTTATTGCTTTGTGAAATTCTGTGTATTTGCTTAACTATACTGTTTTTGTTTGCAGGTATCTTATAGGGGGCAGTGTTTTATACTACCCCCAGCTCTCAACAATAAGCTTGTATCAATTATTTGTTGAGGTCAGTGTGTATTGTCTTTACATCGGATAGATATTCCTCATGATAAGTTATGTCAACTGAGAAAACCCTTTAATTTCAAAGGTGGTTTGTGAAGAGCTGGAGTGGCTTCCTTTTTACCCAGGACACAACAGCACTGCAAAACAGTTAAATGTGCATAGAAGTAAACCAGAAGTTCCTCCAAATGCTGAAGCAGTGTCCCAAGTATTAGAAGTTTGCTCTCATTGGATGCAGAGCTTTATTAAATACAGTACGTGGCTGGAGAGTCCTTCTAATGTGAAAGCAGCTAGATTTCTATCCATAGGGTAAATGCACCAAGGTTCAGTGATAGTTGAACAGAAGTATGACATTTTGGTTAAAAAAATTGTTATGTGTAACCTTATTTTATGTTAGGCACAAGAAGTTGATGGAGTGCATGGAAGAACGTGGGATGATAAAGTAAGTTTTGGATAAAATCTGCATTTATGATTTCCCCCCTCCTAATCACCCACTGACACTAGGATTCATGCATCGGAATTATGTATGTTATTTGTTCAAAATAAAATACGTGAAATTCTGGAAAACACAAAAACCAAAAGCTTAGTAAAAATTATTGAGAGACATCAGTTTGTTAACTAAGTTGTATGTGCTTCTCTCATGATCATGCAGTATAAAAACATCAAAGTTGTTCATAAAAATGGTAACTTGGATTAATGACTGTGCTGTATATTCTTGTTTATGTCTTACTGGCTTCATAACAAATGTGGGAATTTTCCCAGCTTCACATCAGCTTTCATCGTTGATATTTTACCTTTTTGTTATCAAATATGCTATATTGTTGGATTCTATGCTACAGAAGAATTTTTTCATGGTGAATGTTCATCGTAAAAAAAAAATGAAAAATCCAAACGTGTGAATAATTGTATGGTGAAGATATAATCAAGGACCTGAGTTGAGATCTGAAGCAACATATGTTGCATTTTTACCAAATCCTCTTTGTACTGCGATGAATTTATTTTGTCTCCAGATCTAAGACATAATGATATTTTGAATATGTGCTCTCTGCATGCCCCTCTTAGTAGTATTAAACAAATCCTTTTGGCAAAGTTCAAGACATTCCCTAGAAAATGAGCCATGGGTTCCAGTATCCCCCCCCCCCCCGCCTTAAGGTTTTCAAAGATTCATTCAATACAAAAAAATTGAATCTAATAGATGAGGAATTACTTTGGTATTGAATCACTGCAGTTTTACTTTGAAGCTGGGTTTTGCACCAGAGTTTTCTCGTAAAGCCTGTATACAAGTACCATATAAAGTTGCTGGTTGATGTGTTTCCACGAATTTACTTTTTACAAGTTACGTTGAATTACCTCCAGTGGAATTAGTAAGCTATGTCTTTTTGAGTCTATTGTAATTAACTCAACTTCTAGGGTCAATGTCATACATTCTTCTTATTTGTGGGATACTATACTACTGTAAATTTTGCTTGGCTTTAGGCCTATAAATAGAGGTTCTCCTTTCAGAGAAGAATAAAACACTCTGCCTTTGTTTTCTCCTCACTTTTAGTACCTTTCTTTCTTCCTTCCTTCTTTCCTTCCTTTTGAATGAAAGGGGCATATATTAATCACAGAAGAGTCACATTGGGCAACCCGAAGTGATAACTGGGTTGCAGAAATATTTAGTTTCTTAATTATAATAGTACTAGGTGGTAAAAAAGGGATGTGATTTATGTGAAAGTGAAACTCTCCGCCCCTTTTTACCAAGTTTTGCACATTCCAAAGACTTCCTCGGTTAACTGTTTGGATCACTGATTTCGTTTTATGAAATATGATGCAGGGATAAGAAATTAGAGAATAATTTCAAGAAATTGTTTGAGAGAAATAGATCAGCCATTTGCACAACTTCAGAAGAGTCGGCTTCTTTTGAGGAGGTTTCGTTCTTTTCCCAAAATCTGGTTCGAGTCATATGATGCTTCCAATTCCAAACTGATAAAATAAGTACTTTATCAGCGATTACCTGCAAGCCTGTAAATATAGACGTTCTGCTGCATGGAAAGCTAGGGATATGTTAGTCAGGGGACTATGGGAATTAGTATAAATAGAGGGAAGGGGAAGTGTAAGTGGGGTGACATGGATTGAATACTAATTCTATAGTCTAAATACAATAAACAGGTTTACCATGTATCAAATGATATCACACGAGATGTTCTGGGTCCATTACCTTGCATGGCTAAGTATTTTTTTTTTTTAAACTAAACTATGAGCATTACTAAGTAGCATGCATAGCTGGATGAGTCAGTGACTTGATCTCTTATGATTATATACAATTACAATCACTAAGCAAAATGATGTAAGATGGTTCCGAATTTTTGTTTTGGTGACACCCCATTTATGTCCTTATGTTGTGCCTTCTCAATGGCATTTAATACCAGGCATTGGAGAGCGTTGAAGAAGCTGTGCTAAGACTGGAAAAATTGCTTCAAGAGTTGCATGTATCAAGTGCTAGTTCTGGGAAAGAGCATCTAAAAGCTGCTTGTTCTGACCTGGAAAAAATAAGGAAGCTTAAAAAAGAAGCTGAATTCCTTGAGGCATCTTTCCGAGCAAAAGCAGATTCTCTTCAACTGGTATGCTCTCATCATCTTATGCCTATTTGTCAATTTCTGATAATATTACATAATGTATCAACCTTGTACTTTTACCATAAGTCTTTCGAGCCTGTCCATCTGTTCATGTAAGTCCTTGTTGATTTGCCCTTGAAGTTGGGGTCTTGGTCTAATGTTGAAGTCTCCTTTTTCTTTTGGTGGTTTTAAGATTGGAAAATAAATTTGAGGTATTCAGCTTGCGTTTGTGCTAAAGAAATGGTGAATGCTAACAGAAAATTAATTTTTCTGCTTAAACACTGCTGTTCGCTTCTTACCAAACTACCCAAAGTGTCTTAACACTTTTCTTTTGAAGTAATTAGGTGTTATGAGTTGTTTTAAATCATTTCTCTTTACTGTATTTTAATTTTTTTTCATGCTTACTTCCTATCATCCTTTTCTTGTCGAGAATTTCTTTGTTATCTTGTCAACGTACATTTGTTATATTGATTCAGGGAGTTAATGATGGTCAGTGTCATACTCCGGTTGATGAGATTCAAGGCTATGTTAAAGGGAAAAACCAAAATAATGCTAATGTAAGGGCAGACCGAACCAAGAGGTGTGAAATTTCTGTACTGATTTTAGCTTCACCTATTGTTTCCATATGTCCATATCAAGTGATTAATTTTTCAAGGGCATAAATTTAGCTGTTATTTGACATTTTTAGATTTAACTTTGTTGAAGAGGTATATTTTTCTTTTTCAGAAATGTTGGCAAGTCTCATGGGTTCTGGAGCATCTTTGTAAATCCTGTAATCAGAAAACCTGATCGGGAATCTGATGCAGATACTTCTGTATGCGTAATCTTCATCATAACTATCTTTTTGGTCGATAGTTGGAGTATTGTACTGAACTGTTTGGTGTGCTTGGGTTTTTGTTGCAGGAGAATTATATTGAACTGCCTACTTCAAATGTTGGTGTTGTGGACTTAAAATCCAGTGAAATCCGCCGCTTTGAACTTTTGAGGAATGAGCTGATAGAACTTGAGAAAAGGGTTCAAAGAAGCACCTATCAATCAAAAAACGATGAAGTATGTCTGGAGTTTTCGACAACAAATAATTGCAATTTCATGATTCTATATTGCATGCAAAAATGTCGAATAACAAAGTACTTCATCTTGATGTCTATTTTGTCACCTTGCTTTTTGAGTTGTAGACTTGAAGCTAAACCTTTCCTTTCTAGTAGGGGTTGAAATAAAATTTATGAGGCAGATAATTATTCTGTACTATCTGTTGCTTTGTGGCTTCATTACATGCATTGTTGGTATTAAACTTCTTTCCTGTCCTTGTCATGTGCCATGGTGATGTCAATGTTCTCCTTCTCTGCTCTTTGTTGTCTTAATTTGACTCGTGTGCATGTTCATATCATTGGTATTGACCAGTCATGACGTTTTTCTACGTCCAAAAAAGTATTCCCTTTTTAATCTTTGTACAATCCTTTTATAGGATACGCTAGTTGTGGAGGATGGTGCATATGGTGAGGAATCTGGGGGTATTCGCGTGTTCCAGGCTTCGAAAAGAGGAGATATTATAGAAAAATCTATCAGCAAACTAAAAGAAACAGGAACGGTATGATTAACTCTTAGGCATTTCCTTCTTAAAATATCATCTTGGTCTATTAAGCGTATAAATTGGTCTGTCTGGATTATGAAATTGATGGGATGATGTTAATTGCTCAATTTATTCTTGTGTATTGAACCCCCCCTCCCCTTTTTATTTTCACCTTGCTCTTCCTTTCTCAGTTTCCAAATGCTAAGCTGTGTAGAAAGGGTGGAAATGTTGGCGTTCCCCCTTATTTGTTGTCCCAAAAAATGTGAGCATTGATGAATGATTGCCCAATGAGCAGGATGTCTGGCAAGGAACTCAGCTTCTGGCTTTTGATGTTGCTGCTGCCACAGGCTTGGTTCGAAGGGCCTTGATAGGTGATGAATTGACAGAGAAAGAGAAGAAAACTCTTAAAAGAACCTTGACTGACATGGCTTCAGTTGTTCCAATTGGTGTTCTAATGCTTCTTCCAGTGAGTTTTAGCATAATTTGTTCTCATATACAGTATCTATATTTAGGATCAGGCGACCAGCTGTGTCCAGATTATTTTTGAATGCTCCATCCTGCTTAGCATATTGTGACTTAGTGTGACTTACTAAGGAAAATGCCTAATGTTACAGGTTACTGCAGTTGGGCATGCCGCCATGTTGGCTGCTATTCAGAGATATGTACCAGCTCTGGTATGTACCCATATCTCTGGGGCTGCATTGTGCATTCTCTTTTTCAGCTGCTAATTCTCTACTCGAATGTGATATCTCCTCATTCTGGCAGATTCCGTCCACCTATGCACCGGAAAGGTTGGATCTCTTGAGGCAGCTTGAGAAAGTGAAGAAAATGACAACTGCTGTTGGGGACTCAGATGGGAAAGAGGATGAAGCTGACTCATGAGAAGCAATGCATATTTATGTACAGCTATGATTACATTCTTTGGTGTACAACTCGAGTTCGCCTAGTTCCCGATGCTTGGATTCGGCTTCCACAGCAATGAGATATGTCCAAAAACTGCAAAATTTTCATGGTACATCCCGTTGACAACATCTAGTGTAAATTGTGCTTATAGTCCTTTTTTGTTTACATATCAACTCTGCTCGGTTTCCATGATCATTTAGTCCTATATATATGTCTCCCTGGCGAGTTTCTAACAAGCTGGACGAGTTCAACCTTGTAATTAAGATGTAGAAAGTTGAAGAGCAAAAAATGCTTGAAGAATTTAGTAGAACTTTTTTCTTAAAAAAAAAATACCAACTTGGCAGATTGTAGCATTCAAATTAATAGATTGTAATTTATTGTTCTCTCTTGTATATTGCTACATTGTAATATGAATTAATCTTCTATGAAAAGTCAAATGGCTTTAGAATCTTATTGGAATGTATCGAAACTAAATTCGAAACGTCGGAGAATTATAGCTTTTGGCGCAAATGATGATTCATGGGCTCGTGGTATTTGTACGTTTGAATTTAGTTATTGCCCCTCTAACTATCATCCATTTACTGATTTGGAAGTGGAAGATGGTGACACAGGATAGGTAATTTGTTACTTTGTTTTGAAGATATTTCAGTTTTTATTCCAAAAAAAAAAAAAAGGTTATTGGTGAACCCCGTTTAATTTATCATTGGATATGAAGATGTTAAATCTTGGCGAGTTGATGCTGTGAACCTGTACGAACATGCGTTTTCTCTAGTTGGGATTTGAGTTGTGTGCTTCTGCAATTAACAGGTTGAAGATAATAGGAAATTATGATCAAATTATCTTTACATATATATATGCATATCAATTTGAATTTTGTCCAGCGGGTTGTTGGTCACGTAGGTTTAATAATCAGCTAATAGAAAAACACAATATGGAAGTGAGAGCGCAATATACAATGGGGATGACGCCTTTTGCTTGAAAGTGGCAAAAAAAAAGGGTGATGACATGCAAGGCTCGAATAGTTTTATGGTTTTATTGATGCTGACTGGAACTGACTCGATTAATTTGAAGGATACGACAGAGATCATGGTCCCACAATTTTATAGACTCCATGAATCAGTTTTCTTTTCCTTTTTTCTTTTTGGCATGAATGAATCAGGTTATCATTTAGTTAGCAAATTTCCTTAAAAGAGCTTGGAAATATAGTGTGGTGGTCAAAATTATTGAAGCATAGCTCCTGTCATTTAAGGAAGAATCTGTCGATAGTCTTATCTGTTCAGTACATGGTAGGTAAGATTTACACATCAAGTTTAAGTGGGGATCTTCCAAAGAAGGAATATCGGATCAGCATTGATTCATAACAATTATGATAATTGCTGCCCTCAAGTCAGAGATACATAACAACGTTGCCGAAGCTTTCTGGTTTCATTCTGAGTCTAAAGCGGCAATTATTGGATTCGGTGATTATTGCGCCCATGAATGTAATGCGCTCATCTTTCATGTAAATCACTCAAATTAAATTTACATGTTTTAGAACTTTTTTAAAAATAAATAACGTTATTTTATTTAAAAAGCAGAATATAGGGTTAAAATAATTTTATTTTAATTATCAACTTAATAATAATGATATTTTCATTAAACAAAGTTATATTTTAAGAATTTGAATGGTCCGAATAAAAAATATGAACGGTTGAAAAGAATGAAGATGATGTTGGTTACTTGAATAAGCATGGGTTCAGCAGAACTCTAAATATCATGCAGGTGGGAGGTCTCGTCAGGCATAAATGACGAGTCGCACACACATGCCCATCAACCACGGCTGGTCGGGTCCATGGACTAAGTATATGTCAAAACCAGAAAGGCGTGCGATGCATTAACAGGCGTACATGCGAACCGCTAGGTACTGAACTGTGTTTTGATGCGGTCAAGTGCAGAGAGTGAACCATGGCTGTCTTGTCCGCTCATTGGCTAACCAGGTTGGTTCGGTCCTTCCAAGGAATTGGCCTAGCCACTCGCGCACAACATTACTGTTTTAATATTGTAGAACTGGACCCGGCCCGGCCGGATTAGTGCTCATCAGGAGTGCAGTGGTCGTGTCGAAAACCTCATGACATTAATATTCCAAAAGTAGAAGCTCTTAAAAGTTGTGAAGCTATTGTTCCAGAACAGTGATGGGTGCATTATTGATTATTCTTTTTCTTTTCCTTGTGGTGGGGGAGTGGAAGTACCTGTACCCATCACGAGTGCCATGAATCATTGAACGAAAAGCACTTCGTTGAGAGGTCACGTCCTGATTTGCGCAGCCCTCAGTTGTCGTTTTATGCAACCATATGGCTGTATGTTAGCTGCTTAAAACTAGTGAGAGTCAGTGGAAGTGTGCCCACCTCTCATCCGATATAAACCTCAGCTTTGTCCTTTATATGTGAAATATTTGTCTCCTTTAAGCGTTACCAAGTGGATTAACTGCAGTATTTTCGGCTCGAGTTTCAATGGTAGTGTATTTTAACAGTTTACATCCTCGGACGACTTAGTTGCTACAAGAGTGCGTTTTACCCTGGTAAACTGTATCAACTCCATTTTCTGCTTGCTTTTAAGGGATATGTAGTTAATACTTCGCAAAAAAACTCACAATGTCGGTATTTTTTAAAGAGTGATGACTGATGATAGTCTGACATCTAGTTGGCAACTGGCAAGCAAGAGCAACGCACATTTACCATCAAAAGTCATAGTTTTGATGAACAATATGCAACATCCAATCGCCAAGAAGCTACAAAAATAAGGGACTACGGACTACGGACTACGGAGTAGCGAGTGTGAGCGCGAGCTTTCATTATATATGAAGTACACGAAGTTTTTATCATTTGGTGCAAAAAGAGTATAACCAACAGACGTGGGCCATGGTTCTGGTGACGCGCGTGCTTGTGTATTAAATGTCGTGTTTAGCTTTGCATCTACTTGAATTTCATCCACATGCTTTAATGCTGCCAACAAAAGAAGATAAGCACATCCATAAGCAACCCTCTCTTAAGTGATTACTTTCAGTTTCACCCACTATCATCGTTGTCGTAACATATAAAACTGTGACAAGAAGATTTTTGCAGAGTTAAAGGATCTTGTCAACTTCAGATTACCACTTGGAACGCTGCTGCAAGGAGAAATCTCTGCTATACATATTGGACAAGGAAGCTCCACAGAGAGAGAAATGGGGTTTTTAATTTGTACGAATACCATTTTATCTATCAAAGTCAAGTCCTTTGAAGAATTCAACACAACACACCCACCGCCCCAGACCCATACCTTGTTCCTCATCTTCATCAATTAATGATGACCCCATTCCCAAAATCTTCGTCCACAATCCCAACAGTACTCTATACGACAATATATATGCACGCCTAAATTGTTTCTCTTGTTTACTGACGTCGTTCATCTTCCTCACTCTACTCTCTACCTCCACTTAGGTTACTGCTTACCATTACTGCTATGGATTCGGAGTTGGTATGTGAGAATCAGGGATTTTCCTTTTCTTCCTCTCATCCACTGCAATTTTCTATTCCTCTTGCTTTATTTGATTTTCCCTATTTGCATTAAGGACGGTTAAGTGGGCGTACCTGACAAGTGTGTTAAAAGGGTCAAATCAAAAATGTCACATCCAAAATCTTCATCCTGGGCGATTTCTCATCTCGTTGACAACCTGTTGCAATCGCACATATCCATATATTCTATTAATTACCTGCCACTCCTTTTTCATCATGCGCTCGCATCAGAAACAAATATCCATATCTTCGTCAATTCTTTTGAGCAACCTTTAACGTCGTATACCTTCAACTCATCACCAGGTTCGATTGGATGTATGATCTTACGGGGAAATTGTCTTGAGAGGATGAAATGGTTTGCAATTGTTCAGCGACGACGGTGCTGAAAAGTGACTTGATATGACACAAAAATAAGAATAGTCCGTGGGATGATTTAATCCTTACAGTTTCCAACTCCATGTTGAATCCCGACTTTAGAGTGAGATCTGAATTTTGGAAGTGGCCTGACAACTTTCTACAGTTAATGGAAATAAACCAACCATAGTTGACTTCCTTTCATCACACTTTTAGACCAATTTCGACTCTATGAGCTGGGCAAAAGACTTTTTAATCATGGTATATGATCAATAATGATATGATTAATGGTGTTCATAAAACTTACATGGCCCACAGAATAAATCAAGTTTGTTATACCCAAAAGCCTATTACGTGTCCAGCACAGTTGGCACACCTGACAGACATTTAAAGTGGATGCCAAAACAGAAAATGATTATTTGAAACTAAATAAATATTATCGTCCGTGGGATATGTACATGAGCTGATTTTTTTTTTTATTTTTTTTACCTCTCTCGTGTTCAGCTTTGCATCTTATTTTCTTAGCGATGCTGTTCATTAAATCCGAGAGAGCGAGAGAAAGATAGGGAGGCAAAATAAAACAGAGAGAATCAAGCCAACTGTGTCGGGGTCAAAGTTAACCAATAGTTTCTTGGATCTTGATTGATGAAATATATAAAATATATGCTCTTGCGAGTGTTCTCTGTCTTTCTGAAAAAATGAATCAACTTAATGAAGATGCAAGTACGTGGCCGATTAATTAAACTCCACATGGTTCAAATTAAACGACCTGCTCAAAGTTCCAGTTCACCATATGGACGGCCTTCATAAAGTCTTATATTATTATTCTTATGGCAATATTATATGTATTAAATCCGTTGCTTTAATACGAAGAGCCAAAACGTACCGGGAACATGTCCCTCCTGGCATTCACACCTCAGTTGATATGCTTCATAAAAAGGAAACAACAAAATCCCAGAAAACAAATAAATAAGTTGCATGCATCTTCTTAAATTAATTAAAGACAAGAAAGATACTACATAATCTTCAACATTAACCTATCTACTCTTATAATTAATAACTATTGCTTTCATGTTAATGACAGGAACATTAATGCATTAGCTCTGATCATAAGGGATATCTTACACCTGAAGGAAAAAGGAAAATCTAACTTAGAAATATGATTGTTGACGTACCATGTGGGGTTGAGGACTAGAAGCATAAGAAGGCTGAGGATAATCATATTGGTAGAAGTGGTGATGGGTGGATGATGATGATGAGACGTTGGAGGAGTGATTATGGGATGTGGAAGGTCCCGATTCGTCTGGTTCTGCTTGGCATTCCATGTTTACTCCAAACAGTCTAAGTACCTTACTAGAGCTGTTTCCCGCCGCCGCCGCCCTTTGAGCCGGGGAACCTCTTCCTGCAACAATCACAACGACGACAGCCATTTTGAATACTTCTTCATACTTCATAAGTACATCTCCACCGTGACACCAAATAAGAGCATTCAAATTCGATTAATCGCTGGTGAAGGAAACAAATTAAAGCCAGCGGGTTCAGGTTCTAATAAGATGAGAAGAGCACAGATAAATAATCACGCTGAACAGGACACCGACCAGATTATTGGGTGATCTGATCAGATATACACAGATTAGTCGGTTGCTCCTTCTTAGCTTATAAGAGGGAAATTGAATAGCCCGAACTTGTCGCAATATTAATTGGAAGGTATTCTTGAAATTAAAGCACAATTGCATGATGGTAGATGTACCATAATTATGTTTCAAAATGAGAAGAAAATGAAAGACAGATAATACATATATGAGTGATGAGATATATAGACGAGACCTAGTGCATGAAGAGTTTGAGGTTGGTATGGCAAAGGCTGATGCTCGGGACGAGGCTGCGCAGAATAGAAAGGTGTAGGTGTGGTCCAGCCTACACCCACACCCCCACCTCTGCAAGTGGCATCGCCTGCGACGGCCATATGCATAGGTCTGGTAACTGGTGGACTGGCAAGAGGGTGGCGGCGTCTCCAGGTTATGAAGAGGCGGTGAGAATCTGTGAGGTGACGGTGAAAGGAAACGACGTCGCCGGCGTCGAGGCGCTTGTCCTTGACGTATCGGCTCCAGCCTTTGGTCAGGACGTAACTCTGGCTACTGTTCCAATAGGAGTAACGGAAGCGCCAGCACTTGCCGGCCTCGTCCTCGAAACTCAGCAAGACGCCCTTGGCGTCCCCAGCCCCACCGCTCAGAGGGAAGTACTTCTCTGCGTGCTGCTTCGGGATCACCAGACGGTTCAGCTTCCCCACGTCGCTCGGCGTTAACGCCTTCTCGAACATCGCTTCCTTTTGCTCCTCCTCCTCCTCCTCTGGGTTGAAAGCGCGCGTGCACGAGTTGATGTTTTGGATTGCTTCCATAAGGACGATGCCTTGTAGTTGCTGCTCGCTTCACTGCAGAATGTCCAGGGGGACTATTGGTTTTATGCACATTTTCTTCTGTCCTCTTCTTCCTCAATTAATTATTCACTCGCGAGAAAGATACACAAATTGATGAGGATTTTATGGCGCTGGACAGGTAAGGGGAGGTTCAGATGCGGGAACTATTTGAAGGAGCTAGCTACCCAAGGTATGACGATGAGAGAGAGGCCGAATGTAAGTCAGCAAGTACGAGGCTTTAAGTTTATAAGCCATGAGTGTAGTCTGATATGAGGGCGATGAAAAGGCACATTAAAATTTCTGAGGAATTGCATGCTTGTGCAAGCGTAGCGTAGCTCTAATTCTTGCTTTAAATATATGTCCAACATATGTATAAATAATAATCACAATAAGTAGGTTGGATGAGAAGTTAAGTGGAGGGAGAAGATGGTTCAACATATTTGAATAGCATATTCGTGGGACTCAGACGGATTATAAAAATGAATTATTAGAACTAATTGGACCGAACGTTTACGAATCTTAAAAAGAAAGAGGGATTCTACGGGTGAATAATTTAGCGAAATTGAAGACATCCCCCATGTTACTAAATTGGCAAGCAAATCCATTGGTGGGGTCCTCACCTTGAGAAATAAATAATTTGAAACCCGGTAAGTTTTGAATCTGCGTTAGTCAGAAATACCAGGTACTGATCAAAGAAATATATATTAACCCTGATCGATCACTTAGGGGATCGAAGCTATAAAATAAAGCACTACCTCTGCTGTTTCTTTTCCATTTCACGGCCGGCATCCCTCTACCCACTTTACTCTCCATTCAAAAACATCACACTCCTACATTCAATACTGATCATTTTTACCTAAGTTTCACAACAATCCCAGAGTGTGTGTATATATATGTGTGTATAAATGTTTTGTTGGACCTCGACTATTGTCTGTGAATTGAAATTAGAAAAAGAGATCCCTTTTTCTTTTTTTCTATTTTCTAAGTTGATGTGCAGTGCTTTGAGCCTTTGAGGGGCGGCCAACATGAATTAATATTTTATGAGATGGTCATCAAATATAAAAGAAACAAAACCAGGAAGAGGAGGTATTCCCCTTTTACTTTGAATTTGTACCAGTATTTGATACAAGGGGGTCTAGTTCAGGTCGCCCCAAAATGAATGTACATATAAAATATCTTTAGGGCGGAAGAATTTAATTCACGTGCATGACAGCATAATCGGTGGTTGGCCATTCCTAGTTAGAAAAGAAAGCAACAAAAGAAACGTTGGGCTTGAAATGTGTTGATGATGGAGGAGAAAAATATCTAGCTCCAGCAGAGAGATGCCTTTCCAATAAGCGCACACAGAGATAATGAGATAAGATTGTATTTAATTTGTCCGATTGAAGAGGAGACACCCACCTTCTGGGCAGTCGTGTTTGAATTCCCTCCTTCTTTACACTTCCATTTATCTCTGCCTCACGCTTTCATCACAGGCACACTATTCTCTCTCTGTCTGTATGCACATCTGAACCCATGATTTTTGTCTTCCCATTCATTTTATATTAGATAGTTGTGTATCATGCCATTTGTTTATGTATTTATTTCCGAGTTAGTTGTCTTTTCTACGACTTAAAAGACAAAACCAGCCTCAATTTCCAGGTAGATTCAGACACCCTTTTGTGCCCTACAAAAAGGTTCTTTTAGTTTAAGTCCATGATAGAGAATAAAGACAAAGACCACAATTATAGCTAGAGCTCATGGAGCTCTTTGTTTATTTTCATTATTCTGTAATAATACAGATGGAAAGACGACAGTGTGGTTGCGTCATCATGCGCTCGAGCCTCCAGGTATATATTTGCTCTCCTCTCCGTCATGTCTACCTATATGCAAAGACACCAACACATGGAGTGCATTTAATAGCAAGCAGGCAAACAATAAATAGAAACCCATGTACAGAAGAAAACCAGAAAGGAACTACCAGTTCTGCAAATGATAAGACACTCTTGCATGTAAAAGCGATAACTGAAATTTTCCACCAGTTGTTCAAAGATGTTGCTTGGCTAAGTGCAGGAATCCTTGACCACGAAGAAACGGCCAGGCTGGGCCTCAGTGTGAGGAATCTGCCATGTCATAGCATTTCATGAGTGGTTCATTTCTTTATATGGAAATCTCTGACAGTTTATTACAGGAGATAAAGGAAGAAGACAAGCCCGCTTGATATATATAGAAAGTAGGGTGACTGCACAAGGGAAATAGGGTAATTTACGAAGTGACGGAATCACTGATTTAATATTTTTCAATCCTGGGTATTCCTCATTCCCCAAGTAAAACCCCATCCCAACTGGGGCTTTGCTTTTGCAAGATCTATACTGTCAGTGATGTTTAGTGTAGTCCATGACGACTGTGTCTTAGTTTTAGCAATAAATTATTCACAGCTAGGGGAGGGGAACATATCTAATTCATAAATGTAACAGTTGGCGTAGATTAAAGTGTCTGTTTTTTTAATTACTTATCTAGTTTCTTTCAATGAGCAAAGCCAGCTAGCGCGGTATTGTGAGAAAAGCTATATTATTGGCTTAATGACGAAATCTTTTGTCGTGTACGATATCAGAGAGTGTTCTGGATTGTAACATAGTTGTTTGGGCAGCAGTAGGGATATTAGGATATTAGGGTTTAATTTACGATGTTAGAGTTATCTAGTAAAGATATTTACCCATTATAATGAACTTTGATTATTTGGAATCTCTTGAAAATCTTTCCAACAAATAGATATAGCTGCATTGGACCATTAACGAGCGGAGTGAGCTTGCAAATGAGGAATAGTTGAAGCATGAAAAAACTGATCCTTGCTGGAAATAATTTGAGAAAGAACCATTTATATTCGTGTATAGTGTACATTTTTATCATTGTTTGGAGAATCTTCTACTTGCAAGGGAGGAGCTTTATCATTCTTGGCTCGCTTGAGACTTGTTCTTCCATTTATTTCCTCAATTCATCAACTATCCTTTAACCTCATAGGCTGTCTTCTTAACTTTACCATGGTTCCTCATAAGTTCGTAAAAATAACAATTCTATTCATGTTGAAATCAATCCAATTTATCAATAACTTGATCTATTTCCTCCTAAAAGTCAACATACTCATAATAACAATGGGTACCATCCTCATATTAATCAACATAATCATGTCAATAGCTATTAAGATGCTCATATCATTGTTGTTCAATGGACTCATATCGGTATTGATCTTTATATCCATATTGCTTATGATCAGCATGCTTAGATTAGAGATAGTGATGCTCATAATTGTCACAATCAGTTTGCTCATACTACAGACGGCTTGTGTATTTGCTCTTCATATCCATATTGATAGCTCTCTAGCCAATAAGTATAATGTGATGGATAAACATATTGTTATTGATAGCCATTACATATGTATCACTAAGCATAATCCTCTTGCTATCGAGTATATCATGGTGGATTAACATATTCACACCGATAATCAGAATATGTGTATCTTCTATAGCTCATATTGGTAATTAAACGTCATAACAAGTTTTTTATTTCTTTTTTTTTCTCTTCTTCTTTCCTTTTTCTCTCTTTTCCTTTTCTTCTTTTTTCCTCATTTTTTTTGGAATACAAAAGGTTCATATCAATAAAAAAAATGAAAACCCTACCAAGGATATAATGCCCAAACATGCAAAGAAATTGCAAATATTTAAGATCTAGCAATAAGCAAACTTGTGAAAGGCAACAAAGACACTCTAATTTGTAGCGTTGAACAGTGCATTAATTATTCCTTGTTTGAATCTTTAAATCTTAGTGAAAAAGTTATACTTTCCAAGTGATATTGGCAACAAAAGTTGTAATAGAAACCTAGCTCTAGTAACAATTGATGTAAAATGAGCAAGGAAATGGGAAGAAGAGAAAGCAGAAGGAGAAGAAGGATGGGGAATACTGAAACTCTTATTAATTCTATGTAATAATAATCAAAGTTGAATAAAAATAAAAACTTCGAGCTCTGTTTAAAGGTCAAGTCCTAAAATAATAGAATAATAACTCAAATCCTAAATTTTAAATTTAAATATAATCTTAAAGATGCTAATATCTACAATAACAATAAAATAAATAATTAGATCCAAATCTAATGGATAAATATCCTTGTTTAAATAACCCTAATATTTTAAGTTAAATCCTAATTATATTTTACCATATATTACACCAGATATATCCAAAACATCTTGTAGCAAAAGGCCAGGAATGGTGTATGAAATCTAATGCATGTTGATTTGCATTGATGCTGCACCTGATAGTGTATCGTACTTGAGCATCAATAAACAACTCAATTATTTAATTACTAACTCGAAAACCCCACTGTCTCCTTATTTTATTTTATACAATAATATTGCAGCATAACAACCCCCAACCCCTTCTCACACTTGACCGCTCTTAATCACAGCGCGCGCGCTCATTAGCTTCGAAGAAGTTACGTCATTTCTTAATATATCAGAGAAAATAACAAAAAAAATCCTCCAAAATATATAAACAACAATTTAATCTCTTAAAATGTCATAATTTTCATAAAATCTCTAGAGACTTTGCTGTCATTAATGAATTTATCTAAATTATCAAATTAATTTTGTTGAAAATAATCAATTTACAAGTTTTGTTTAAAATTCATAATTTTTCTTCTTATATTTACAACAATATAATAGTAATTTGTTTAAAATCCCTCCAAATTGCCCTTCTTATATTTGTTGTTGCATTATTGTGAATATAAAAAAAATTATGAATATTTAAATAAAACTTGTGAATCATTTATTTTCAATAAGGGCAATTTAATAATTTATATAAATTTATTAATGAGAAAAAAATTCTTAGGAACTTCAGAAAAATTATGACATTTTGAGAAACTAAATTATCATTTATACATTTTAAAGGGATTTTATTGTCATTTTCTCTTATTATGACTTAGCATGTAAGGGAGCATCTAAGGGAAAAATATTTACATCGGCAATGCAATTTTAGAGAAAAACTGCTATTAAGGGAAATCTGATCCGTACATGTTACATCATACGCCAATTAATGGTTATATGTGTAGACTTTCGTTCATTAATCAAGATTTCACAAATTAAATTATTATCAACTCACTCTTAATTAATATACTTACATATGTTACTATGTATATATGCATGAATTAGCCTAACTATTTTGTTTTTTTTTAAGTATATATGGCACTCCTATGAATTTATTTATAAGTTATTTTTCATATGTTTCACTAAAACTAAAAAAAATCTTAAACTTTATTAATCTTATCCATACCAAATATATGTGTTTTAATAACATATTTCTCTTACCATTTTTAAGAGATGGTAAAAGAAAAAATTTGTGATGAAACTTTAATAATATGACTTATAAATATGATTAAAAAATTTTATTTCTCTACAATTGGTGGGGGTATATACTAAGACTTTTTGTCTACTACTATAGCTAGATATATCCATAAAAAATATATATGTTTGGGTTAAAATATGATTCTTTCCCTGAGCCTAACTATTTACACTCAAGTCCACCGAAATCTCTTAGAAAGAATGAAGTTATAGAAAGATTTGGTCAAGTACCCACCACTTTGATCAGAAATGCAAAAGTGGAAAACATAGGAAAAAACTACAATTTGTGGCCCTAAGAAAGCGGAGCATCAACCATGAAGAAAACTACCACTTGGTGCCTATTAGATGAAGAAGCATTCAACATATTCAAATCCCCATCAACTTAAAAGCATCCCAAATGCCTCAATACTTAATTTAACTAAACTAAACACATTTTTCTTCATGCATCTAGTAGAAAGTATTGGAGTAGAGCACCAACAGCTCCTAATAGAATAGTAACAACGTGCAAGAGCATTTTTTCTTTTAGTTTTTCATCTTATACTTTCTTTAATTTCTCTTTTATCTAAGAAAATTGTTGTTAAAGACCTCGGAAACTTACCACCATTTAATTTGAAAGTCAAGTATATCACACCTCTTGAGGACATGCTTTTTTGGCATGCTCGCACACTACAAACAATATACATACTTTATTTGTTAGTTACTTCCAACATGTGTACAGGAAAAAACTTCATAAAACTCATTAATTTTATTTAAGAATTCAATAAAGCTCTAACCTCAATATACATAATTTAATAATGTACCTTTACTGACCAAAATTAAGGAGATAAAAGGAAAAATTTATGATAAAAAATCAATAATATTATAACTTATAAATAAGACTAAAAAACTTTTAATATATCTGTCTTACAAATAGGATTAAGGGAGTATAAGGAAAATTAAAAGTAGTTGAAAGGTGCAGCTCCAAGGCAAGCAAATGACCAAAAGCGGAAAGATGGTGATTTGCAGAAGTTGAATGAAGTGAATGCCGCGTGCAGTAGAAAATTTCCATTTGTGTAGCTCCAACACTTGAATTTAAAACGAGAGAGTGTGGGGGACCCAAGTCTTTAGTCCATCCACTTTGAGGGATGACTTACTTGTCTTCGTTCGTATGTGGACCATTATGGCTTTGGTAATGGCGCTCCCAAATTAATGCAAACTGGCCGATATGTTGGACTTTTCATCGTCTGTACGTAGCCTTGGGGACTCAATTCTACAGCCTCACCGTCCCACGCACCTTAATCACTTTCATATATCTCATCCCCAAAATCACTTTCATCGGTTTACATTCAACTAGCTGCTACTTGCTGTGTAGATTTCATTCATTCAATCAGATTGCAGTAGCAGCGAAAGTACGTGGAAAGCGTTAATGTTGGAGTGAATTTGAGCAGGCCAGATGGCAGGAGGCGAACGCGAGTGCTTGAAATTACAAGGCATTCAAAGGGTTGATAATTACAAATAAATAATAGTGTTGAATCAAACTAAAGAATGATTTAGTAAGTTAGAATGCAAGCGTTTATTAATCATCAAGTGGCTTATACAGGGGTTGATCCGTTGCCAGGAAATAGATTTTGTCGATATATGCATGCTATAAGGTGCTTTCGGCTGATTGGAAAGACCACTAGCCCTGGGTAAGCATCATTCAAGATGAGATTAATTAAGCATGTGAAACTGTTTCTTTTTTTTTTTTTTAAGAAAATTGATGCCGTGATATCTCCTTTTGGATACACAAAGGGCAGAGACAGCGATTCACAGCTCCGGTGGATTATGAAAACTATTTAAAGAAATTCCATTTAGCCTGGGCTTTAACAGTTGACCTCTCTATTTGCCTATCACCAATTATGGATAATATTGCTTTTTTTTTTTTTTACAGATGTTTCGTACTTAGCTTGAAGTCTTATTGTTATTAGTGTTTCTCACACGCATATTTTGAAATATTCAAAATAAATAGACGTTAAAAAGGAAAGATATGCTCCAGAGACAGCATGTGATTATATAAAATATGCTTCAAGTTGGTTGCGGATTCGCAATTGCCGAACGTAAAATGCTTGTCATTTTACGAAGTAAAAAAAAGAGGGGGCTCAAACTGAGGGATATTCTGATTAAATATATTACTCAATAAATAATACCAGATTATAAAAGGTAAAATTTACCACCTGAAATTTTAGGTACAATAGTATTATATATCCTGAACTTTTTTATTATGTAAATTAATCTCTCAACTTTTAAAAATAGTGTTATCTACCCATGTCATTAATAAAAGTTAACTTTGACCAAAAAATAATAAAAAATAATTTTAAAAATTACAGATATTGATCCCAAAAATCATTAAAATTGATCAAGAACTTTTTTATACTTTTCTGTAATTTTTGATATCATTTTTTGATTAATTAATAGTTAAAACTAACTTTTGTTAATGGCAGAAGCAAATTGCATTGTTTTTAAAAATTTAAGAAATAAATTATATAATAAATGAGTTTAGGATCTATAATACTACTGGATCTAAAATTTAGGATATAATTTATACAATAATTCAATTATAAATGATAACTTAAATGTTTATATATTTATTCATTTTTAATCGAATAATGTAGTTATTCCGATCAGTATGTTATAATTTAGTGTAATTTTATGGTAACATGACCTCAACCTCCGCATCCTTTTACGGGGCAAAAAAAAAAAAAAAAAACACACACACACACACACACAATATTTTATTGAAAACATAAGATTTTACAAAAAGATATTCGTTAAAAAAATATTAGTTAACCTAAAAAATAATAAACTAAAGTGGGGTGATGCTGTATGATTGAGTTTGCTAGCTGTTACTATTCTTGCGATCGAATTCAGATAAATGAATGCAGATAAAATCGAGACCATATAAATATAACGATCACACATTTTTTTAGCCAAAAAAAATTAATTAACGAGCACACTAATAATTTATATTGACGCGCAGTTAATTTAATTTTGAAATGTAAGTTACATACCTTTCGTTTTATGCATTTAATTACTACCTTGGAACATTTTTATGAGAGACACTTGACAACTTTCACATGAATTATTAAAAAAAATCAGTTAAAATGTGAAAAGTACTCTTACTCAATAAATTATCAGATTCGTACAGTCTTGTCTCTCCATACATAATTAAAGGTATTTAAGGGGGAAAAATAATAATTAATGCCTCTGGAAATGTGTAAAATCTGTCTTAAAGGGGACTTTAAAAAAATTCTAAAAAATTATACTCCCTTCAGTTTTATTATCACTTTCAACATGTTACATTAAGATTAAAAAAAATCTTAAATTTAATTAATTTTTTTTAAATTTTATAAATGTCTACCTTTACCTCTTAAAAGTGAAGATGATCATAAAAAATAGTGAAGTGTTCTATAATAAGATGAAAATTAATTTTTTATATACAAATAGGACAAATGAGTATATAATTATAAATTATATGGCATGCATTTTGGGTATATTATTGCTGCCGCGGATAAATCAAAGCGTCAAAAAGAAGGTGCATGTAACCACTGCACCCAAATGATAGTAGTATAGGTCCCTTGAACATAATTCTAAAATTCAATTTTTAGAAGAGTGTGTATAAAATATCGTTTATAAGAGAATAATTTTTTAAGTGAGGCTTAGATTCTTTTTAAAAAATAGCCTCATGACTGCCGGTTTCTGGGATATTTGAAGAGTGGGGAAAATGACGCATGTGAGGAGCAGGTGCCGAATAAGAATAACACGTGGAGGGGGGCACGTGGTGAAGGAGGGTAGGCATCGTGTAGTGCGGTAGTCGTGGGGAGTGGACCTACTTGTGGGACCAGGCATGGACCGACTCATTCACTCTTAAGGCCCACCACCACATCAACTTTCCAACCCGGCCACCACGACAACAAGAAGCTCCTTTCATTACGTGGGTTGGTTGTACAGACTGCATTGTATCACTGTGTTACAATAATGTTTTTTGTCTATAGAATTTGACAAGAGTTTTATGTTGTCCAGAAACTAACAATACACAATCCTCCTCTTTAATTTTATTCCAGTTTGGAATTGACTATCTGGCGGAGCTTTTTTCCACACTCAACACAAATATATAATAATACCAGTTTAAAACGAAGGCACGCATTTGAGGCTGTTGTGAAAAAAATTAGATCCCGACTTGGAACTCGTTGAGCAGGTAAACTCGACTAGTGGATTAGACAGGCACGCCAGCTGCATCCAATTTTTTTTCCCCCTTTTAGCGAATGATAATGAAGGGAATGCCGCGTTTGGTGAGGGTACTTCAACATTGCGCCTATGTATGGAAATACTTCTGCGCGTCCTCCATACAATGAACCGGCGGACGCATGTTAAATTCTGTCTTGATATCAGTACTAATCATGCTGTCTAAAATCCTTGAGATGCCTCTATTATTTTACTAGATGTAGACAGATTTAGAATTACCCCAAGATAACATTCAGGAGTTCATGCTGGCTCTTGAGATTAAATTAACCGTGTTCTGTCTTCTTCCAAAACGAGGTCAGTGAAAATGATTTTCTTCCACCATGCACGTGCACCAGTTTTAACCACCGATATAAATGTCCAGCTACTCTCACCATTTCACCCACTTGTTCCTCCTGGGATTACGAGGCAAATTTGATTACGGAACCCCATTGTTTTTTTTTTTTTTAAATTCATGTTTCTATCTTTTTATCTGCATCCAGATAGATCATGTTTATAGCACATGTCATACAAATTATTCCATCAATGACTGTTTCAACGCAGTTGCATGTCGTGCGAGTTTGAAAATATGGTGCCTCACTGGGCCAGGTCTTGATAATACTCTGAGATCCAGCTCGATATGATATCTACCTCCTGCTCCCTCACGTCTTTCAACCACTGTGGATCTTCCTTGGTGGAGAACCTCAGGTCCACGTGATGAGCCCCTGCTCCCAAACACATTATATACATTACAAGCCAGCACATTGCCCCAAAAAAGCAAAATGGAAAAGGAAAGAAAACGGCTGGTGGAATATACACCTTGGTTGGCAACAAGAGCGACCACAGTGTGTGAAATATTCTTCAATACACTGCGGAAAGAATTGAGGTTGATTAGAGTTAAAAGAGGGAGGAATGTGAGAGTGGATAGTGAAGAAGGAGAAAAGGGAGGGTACCCTCCACCACTCCAGGGGTCTCTCAAGCCATTAAAGAAGATAATGTTGCTGCCTGACCTTCTCAGGACTCTCTCTATGCCCTGCACAAGCACAAGGAGGTCATTGAATAATAGAAATTAAAGTGAACAAGTGAATTGAATTGAGAAGGAATTACGTACGGGGCCGCCAAACTCAGTAGTAATCCAATGGGGCCTGGGCTCAACGCCGAAGTTTGTGTTGCAGTAAGATACTCTGTCTTGGTACTTCCACTCGTAAGCCGGGAATATGCTCTTTTCGTTGCTCCCTCCCTCCGGCATTACCATTTCCGTACAGGCCTGCATTTCATTCATCATCCTACTAAATGGGCCTTTTAATAAACTTCACGCCCCAAAATGAGACCCAATACTTCTAAAATTTTATGACAAGACAGGCGCATCCCTTAATTCTGAACGAAGTTTCTTCTTCATATTTTGACTTTATCAGGTTTTCACAGACTCAGAGTGTACTTACTAGTGTTATGTAATGCTGTCAATTAAACCGGCTCTTAAAAAGTCAGAATTTAAACGAGCTAATTTTATAAAGCTTAATTACACTTTATGTTTTATTTTGATCAACCGAACATTAACTTTCAAGGGCCTTCAAAGCCTTAGCCCTAAATATTTTTTTATTTTTTAATTTAAAATTTTAAAAAACATATTTAAAATTTTGAAAAAGCTATTACACATGACATTAAATAAATTTAAGTATAATAAAAAATATCATCACAAAATTAACACCGATAACAATCAGATTTTGCCGCCATCATCAGCGAAATCTTGATAATTTTCATTGTCATTAACATCAATATAATCTCATCCTTTTCTTTGTGGAGCCTCAACAATGACAAAGATATTGAGCTTTTCATATATTCTTTTTTCATTCCCATGAAATGAGGTTAGGGTTTTAAAATTAGTATAGTATTTAATTTTTTTTAATATTAAAAATTTAAAAGGATTAGCCTTTTTAGCCTGAATTGTCATTTTATACTCTAAAATAGTGACCCGGCCCTAGATTTTATCTGGCCTAAAAGGATTGGCTCGACCCTTATTGACGGCTCCAGTATTATGTAACACAATTATGAATCTTATCATTATCATTATAATATTTTTGTCTTAGAATAAATCGTTTCAAATTCCGAGGCTGAAACTACTTATTCTGAGACTTTAAAATTTTTTTATTATATAAAACAGCTATCCTTTAATTATTATATTTACATCAAATTTTAAATTAGACCTCGTAATTAAATTGAAGAGAAAAGGTGATCGTGTATAAGGTCTAAGGATTGGACTAACCAACCATTGGTCACGTTATTGAGCTTACAAATTGGGAGTGACCATCGGCACGACAAATCCAAATAACTGAATGACTATGGATCACTTTTCGTATACCATCCAAGTGATCCAACCCAATCTTCATTACCCATTATTTGCAGTTCATGTGTCCAGCCATTCTGGTCATCAAAACCTACAAACTAGTTCGACTCATCATCACACCAACAAAGATCGATCCAATTGATAAAGATTTAGTTCATAACTTATAAGATTATAGAATCAAATTTCACCATCGATGTGAATATTTTGTTGGTAGGCGATCTATAAGTGCTTTTTGAGTTTGGAGGCATGTTGTAACTTTCTAATTTTTAAGTTATAAATTAATGTTGGAAATTGATGTTTTATTGACGATTTAAAATTTGGGTTGATATTATTTTGAGTTATAACAGGGGAATAAATTTGTATTTGAGGTTAATCACGTGTTTATGTACTTAATTTTTCTTAAATTAAAATTAGGCCTAGGATTATATATTAGAGCTAATTGAGGTCCAAAATAGGTATTACATAGGATTGAGTCCAAAAAGTTGGGTTTTAAGTAAGGAAACTTTATCTGTGCTATATACCGTGATACATGGTTATAACATTTAAACACTCGTTCTATCATTCAACAAAACTGAAGAGGGAGAGTTTGGTGAGGCTTGAGTGTGAAATTTATGAGGCTCTACTAGGACATTAATTTCATGGAGGTTAGGGCTTGATCTTAGTGCCTTAAAGGCTTGAGGTAACCTTCCTTCTACTTTCTATTATCTATTCCTAGTTAGATTATGCAATGAGTAAGCTAGGGTTTTTGTTTTTAGGGGTGGCTAGCCAATGGGTTTGAGTTTAAAGGCTTGTTTGAGGCAAAATAAATGTAGTTTGAGTTATTTTAATGTTGTTTATGACCATAGGTAGCTTAAATCCAAAATCTTAGGCTTGATGGATAAACTTTGATGATAATTTTTGGATTGTAGAGGTTTAATTCATGAATCAGATGTATAATGATGATTAATGGGACTACGTTGATGATTTAAGTATATGTAAGTGTTTTAGGTTGATGAGGTTAATTAGCCTAACCATAGAATTAGAGTGTGGTTAGTCTATAAACACTTTGCTTAACTATCATTAGCATTGTATTAGCAGTAATTAGTGTCAAATTATATGTAGATTGTGGTGCTAGTATCGTTGGCAGTACTAATTCATTTGTTTAAGGAGCTCTAATAGCAATGAGCAAAGGTGACCATTATTAGCACATGGTGGTGTATGTGTTTATAATTGACTATGTGTAATTTCATTGTGTTTGGAAAAGGCATGTTTTAATGTTTAGTAAAACTATTGCCAAATGGGATAATATGTATGTATATATTATGTTTGGTATGAAACTTTGTGTTTGAAGTATGAAAATTTGTTCGAATATGTTCTTTTGTTTAGATATATTTGTAACATGCATTACATGTTAGGTTTTGGAAATTTATTGTTAGGGATTTTGTTTGGAGATTACTTACCATATGGTAAACCCTTATTGGATCCAATAAGTGACTACTAGCTTAAATTAACTTACCTTTAGCTAGAGGAGTTGGTTCTGAGCATAGACTATGGAAGAATATAAGGTATAGTCATGCACTTTCATTGTTCAATTTTTTGGATAACGTGTCTGGAAACATATTGTATGTCCCACTTTGTAATAGCCTTATTAATTAGTTACATCACATGCAACGATGCATATTAATTTTGGTTATTGAAATATTTGTGTTTCATTCTCCATGATTACAATTTTTATAAGAAAGAATCCAATTGGAGAAGTGCCAGTATATGGACACCATTAATTTAATTGGCCTCTTTTGTTTTGGGGACATGTGTAAATTGCCAACTTTAGAGCATTTCTTTTATATTATGAGCATGTGACTCCTTACTTTGACTAGACATGTAATTAGCTGCTATTAATTAGTTTTTAACATCAATTCCCTCTTTTGGGTATGCTCAAATGATTAAATATATGTTTGAAGTAAAAGAGTATTTTTTGACTATTTCTGTTATCATTTTCTATATTAATTGTGTCAGGCAATTGTAATTCAATTATAAGAGTTTTGAATGTATGTGTCATTGTGTGGATTTAAATTGTTGTTTAAAATGCTGTGATGTGATCAAGTGTTCTACACTTTGGCTTGTGGCTTTGGGTTTTGGTTTGAGAAGTGTAAAAGTTGTTTGAAAGTATATTTTTGTCCCAAAATGTGATTTTGTGAATAAAGTTTTCATTCATAGGAGTTTTTGTATCAAATTAAAGCTATTAGTTAGATTATTTAATAAGTTTCATGTGAATACTTGAATCACTTGAATCAAATATATGGGTGAAAAGGTATGCACACTTAAAGTTAAATTTTACTATACATATAGTCATCATACTGATATGGCACTATGAATCACGACGCAGGTGTTGTTGGCCACTGTGCATGGCATAGGGAGGAGAATATCATTTCTATGTCATGTGCTGTGGCATTTGGCTATTTTTAAGGGAGAGCCTTTTTGTCTATTATGCAGCGAGGATGGCCCCTTTTTGACAAAAATGCCCATGTCTTTGAAATTTATTTTCAAAAAAGTCCTTTAGATCCTTTTGCCCCCTTTTAACTGATTTTTGGACAATGGAACCTTATAGGAACCATGCTTCCCTTGTATTTACCTCTTTTTATCATTTCTTTGGATTTAGACACTTGTTTTCAATGAGATCCTATTAGGTACAATTTAGTTAACTTAGTTTTTTCACTTTGGACTATTTATTTCACTTATTTAATTCTTGAATTACTATGGTAGTTTTATTTACTATGTGTAATCCTTATTACCATGGTAAATCCTTGTCTACTATAATGTTTTAACTATAAGAAAAGCTCATTTTATTATGATAAGCTTTTATAAAATGATATTAACTATCTATTTATTTATTATGGTATTCTCTTTTCTACCACGGTAAGATTTTAAATTAATACCTAAAGTTGATGATCTTTCCATCATGGTAAACCTTTATTTACCATGGTAGCATTTGAAAAGTATAATTTTACTTTTTATTATCATGGTAGATATTTTTTATCTTGGTATGTGTTTAATGTATAAAGCTTGTTTTTGAAATTATATAATTTGTGAAAAATTAGTATACTTTTAAAGTATTATACATGTCTTGACTTTGGTGAGCCCTTAAACCCAACTCACCTAAATTTTTATTTTACCAAAAAAAAAAAGTTTGATCTCGTCATTGGACTTGTTTCAAGGATGCCCAAAAATATTTTAATATAAATTTTAAGGTTATTGTAACTTTTATCCAGTTAGTAGTTTAATCCTTTAATTTAATTTTTATTTATTTAGTTCTTATTGTTTAAAGAGGAGGTAACACTATTAAAATTTGTTAACATAGATAAGAGAATGTTGATGGTAGCTTTATAGATTAATGAAAAGAAATGTAATTATTTAGGTAAAAAAAACATACTAAAAAAATTTTAAGAATAAGAGAATAAAACACAGCAAAAGAAATCATATTAATAAAAATTAAATTAGTTTGAGGATTAATTTATTCTTATTTAACTGCATAAACATATCAAATTACTCATATATTTTATTTATTAAATTAATTTGAGACCTAATTTGTGTTTTTATAATTTAAATGACTAACTTGATAATCTAAGAAAATATAAATACTTAAATTAATGAAAAAAGTAAATTTAAAGAAACAAATGAATAATTAAAATAAATTTAAAAGATTAAAAATTTTATTATCCGTGAATGTAAAAAAAAAAAAATAGGGATGAAATAAAGATTTTGGTCATTTAAAGTTGGGAGTGGAGTGGAGCACCTGCCATTGCCATCCGGCGAGACCGTGAGGATCGGAATCATCGAGGAGGTCAAAACACGTGGCAGTGCCCGTGTAATTGTAGAATATATTAGCCGCTGCATACAACTTGGCAAACGTGTCGTTTCCTCTTGCTGAATTGTCAATTGCCTCGCACATCTGCGCTCACGTACAATTTATTCTCACAATTATCTATGTCTCTGAATGTGAACTTTCATGCACGTACGTGAAAATACAAGTAATTCCATTAGTTAGATTGATTAATCATGGTTAACGGGCGGTACCTTTTTCACGGGATAAGCTGGCAGGGGATTTATAAAATTGGAAGGGGCAGGATAATCCATCATAGCCGTGAATATGAATGCCTGACGAAGCCAGCCTGTCAAAGCATCCGAGCTTATATAATTCCTGCACCCGCACGCGCGCAGATATATCACTAGGAGACCAAATCGTAACTGGGCTGCATCAATAGAATGACGTCGAACTCACTTGCATATTCCGAAGGATTTGCGCAGCATTTCTGTCCCCCCGGGCTTGTTACCTGCCTCTCGTATGTCTTCCCACGAGCCTTTTATCACCTTGTAACAGTTCTCACTCTCGCTCTGTGTCAACGTTTCAAATTAAAGCGACAACAAGAAGTAAGTGATAATGAGACATATATACACTGAATGGATACGATATATATAGAGAGGGAGGGAGGGAGGGAGGGAGAGGGAGAGGGGAGAGACCCTGAAGTCCTGTGTGATGATATCGTTGAAGGTATACGGTGAAACCAAATCCTGAAACTGGAGGATTGGAGCAGAGGATGCTAAGGCTCCAAGGGCAACGTGGGGATACTTCATCCTGAACCAGGCAGCCAGCACTGCCAATATCCCCATTTGTGAGGGGTCAAACAGGAATAATTAAATAGGTAGAAAAATGAAAAACAGGATTAATTGATAGAAACAAGTTGATGTACTTCCTCCATAGGATCCTCCGAACACTATAACAGGGGAGTCACTGGCAGACAGATTCTTCTTGAGATCAACGATGAGGGTGGCATAATCGGCCAGGGCCTGCGTGCTGCTCAGATATCCGACTTTACTGCTATTCCCGTACGCTTTCTCTCTATTACCCCCGAATGGAATCGATTTTCCATAAAATCTGTGCTGCTTTTTGTTTTCTAAATCATTCACTATGAACCCAAAAAAAAAAAAAATCATGTCTTATGAATCACTGACTCAGTTTCTTCGCGGTCATAGATTTACCTCGATGAAAACTAGAAGGGCTTCGAAATGGGGAGCTGTTTCGAACATGAAGCCTGTGTTCTGAGCGAACCATTCGATGTCTCCTTCATTTCCTGTGTAGACAAAGATGGGAGCTTTGTTGGAGGCACCTCCCCAATGAGTGTCGTTGATGAGATATCTTTGCTGAAACCTCTGGTAACTCTGGGGATTGAAATCGAAGTGATCCAGTATTTGAGTGTAGAACTCTGTTCTGTAAAAGTATAATCCATTGTTCTGGACAGGATCAGCAAGCGACTTTAGACGAAAGGCTGAAGGGAATCTTGGTGTGAAATAGGCAAAAGTAAATCCGAAATACAGCGAGCAACAAAAAGATATCCAAAAGACTTTCTGCTCAGGGCCTATTGCCATTGCTTTTCTGATCACGCGGGGGATGAAGGAAAAAAACGCAAAGCAAAATATCCCAGAGGTGTTCGAGTGGAGGAGAATGGACCGAAATAATGCCGGGTTCGGATTAAGCTCTTGAGAAAGAGAGAGACGGGCCACCTATTTCCCTTTTTTAAAAATATTAATTCCCATTATTTTCTTGGTTCCAATTTACTTGCATTTACTTAAAAATTGATGACGACTTGCGCAAAGTCCACTGTATATATTGAACATTCTCATCTAGAATATGCTTTTTATTGTTTACAAACATAGAAGATGCTTTTTTCTTTTATTATTTTTATCATTTTTGACTTGTTTTCTATGTTTTTTTCTAAAATATATCTTTAATTCTTTAATTTTTTTAATTTTATTTTAAATTAATTTCATAAAGTATCTTTTAAATTATTTAATCTTTAACACCATTAATTTCATCAACAAAAGTCCCTATATTAATTTTTTAAATATTGACAAAATATTATTAAATGTTAATATATTAAATTTAATTTTTTAAAATAATAATGATTGATATAAAATTTAATTATTTGAAACTAATAATATTAGAGTTAAATAATTGAAAAAACACTTTATAAAGTTAAAGAATTAAATTGAAACTTTATATAAAATTAAATAATTAATTATATACTTTAGCTCTTTTTTCTTTTTGCCAGAACTGATTTCTCTTGTTCCGGAGTCTTTTCAAAAGCGCATTATTGTATATTCCTATTTACGCTTAGATGATATATCTTATATTATAATTATAAATATGTATAAATATCTTGTGACTATAATTAATTAGGGAGTTTTTACATATATAACTCATATTGTAGGATCAAACTAAATAAACAACCTAATATTTATTATATTTTATATTATAATCATTTTATTATAAGTGTCAATGATATATCATTACATATCAATTATAAACTCCTTATAAATTTTTAATGATAAATTCTTTATATATCAATATGAAGTGGCTATACTCTCATATTTTCAAAAATTTGATCCATGTTTCTTGGATATAAGAGTTTTTTTGGCTAGTTGGCCAATTTATCTTAATTAGTATACTAAAAATAATAGGAGTATTAGTTTTTTGTTAAATAAAATAATTTATAAACAACTTCCGGGGAATATTGTTTATTTTAGGTCAAACTTAGAAATTATAAATTTCATTTTGACCGAAATACATGTAACCTTATAAGTACATAGCATAAACATGAGTATTTTTTGTTCTAACAAAAGAAAAAGTTATACTTCTTTTGTTAAAAAATATAAGACATTTTTAATCAAATCTCACCCTTAATAAAGTAGTTACCTACTTTTAAACTAAATCTATCTTTTTATATTTATCCCTATTAAACATCCAATAATAAATATAGAGTCATTATTAATAGAAGCACTTTTGAAAAAAGGCAATGATTAGACCTTAAAAGATTAAAAATATCTTACATTTTTGAATATGTAACTTTTCAAAAAATGCCTAATATTTTTTAATGGAAGGAGTATATGATTATGTATTTTTTTTGGGGTAAAAGAGTAAATTAAATTTTAAATTATAAATCCAAGAGTATGTGGGATCTTAAATTTGTTTTTGTGCAGTGTTTTCTTTCAATTTTAAAAAATGGTGTAGTTTGACCTTTATCATTAACAAAAGTTAACTTTAATTAATTGACCAAAAAATAATCCAAATGACAAAAAAAATAAAAGACATAAAAATTATAGACAACAACCCAAAAAATTACAAAAGAGGGGCACAAAAATTTATTGATCTTTTTCAGTAATTTTTGGAGTTTTTTTCTATCATTTTTTAGTCAATTAATGATCAAACTTAACCCTGTCAACATTGAGAGCTAGATTGCTCCATTTTTAAAAGTTAAAAAAAATATTATACAGAAAATAAGTTTAGAATTTCAGATGCTCTTAGACATATAGTTAAAAAAGGCAATTTATTCTTTTGCCACTTTTTATTAATGATTAGAATTATAATATATTTTTTCCTGACTTTATCATGAGGCAAGATTTAAAAGTGTTCTTTTAGGTCTTTAATATAAAATAAGGTTAGAATAATTAATGATATTTTTTATTTTATTTCTTATTTATTTATTTATTTATTATCAGTTGACTTCTTATATAGTAATTTATTTTAATTATTATTAATTATAAAGAAAAGTAAAATTAGAAAGTTATATATCTTTTTTTTAGGGTTTTAAAGTTATAACTTCGCCTTGCACTAAGGCATTAAGCATGGGAGGGAGTATGATTTTTTATAATAAGGTGAAAAATATGTGTTTAATAAAAAAAATACTAATTTAATTAAATAATCTATTTCAGTTTCTTAATAAAAAACTAGAAACGATGCTTTGCTAAGGAGAGTAGTGAGGAGAGCGTGATCGTCGAGGGCCGTTTTCTCGTGCAAACATTGTATGTTGTGCCGAATTGAATTGTTGAAACGCGTTATTTACTAGGAATCATTTAACATCCTCTTGACGTCAATGAATGTGTGGGGTCCATGTACAAGAATTCTTTCCCGTAGTGCAAAAGGTTCTGTGGAAGTGCTCGTCCCAATATACCACTTTCTAATTTAGATTTTGATCAACTAGACCCTCCTTCTCTGCCCGTCTGTTTAGGCTTGCCTTTTGATCGACGCAATGGGGTCAACTGATGACTGATCACATGCGTGGTTTGTCATCAACACCTCGTTTTACACACAATCGTGTTCCTAGCTAATTGATCTTTTTTGTCACCATTCACTGTAGGATTAGATATGTGCGCCTTTCCAAGTGATCATCTCATACTTATCCCTCACGAGATAGCGTCCTTCCCATCATAATGGAATTGCTTAGTGCTAACGCGACTTAATGATATCCACTTTCACTTTGATGGATTAGTGGGCGACAAAAGATCTACAATAAGTATTTTTATTTCGTTCACAAAAAGAAGCAAGTAAACTTGAATAAATGTGTAGCATGTGAGGAAGAGATGGATAATTAACCCTGGGTTGTGCAGGGGTCTGTTTCTCTTAGAAATAATTTGAAGTGAAAGTATAGACATAGGTGCTGCTAAAATTGGGTTTCAGCTCAAGTGCGAAAACAGGACTGTCCGAACTTTCCTTGTATTGAGGCTGCAAATTAAACCTGGAAAAGCCGGCCAACACAGGACCCGGTCGAGAAGCAATGGTGCCAACTGGAAAACCAAACATGGATTCCCAGAATAGCTTGCACATCTCACGAGAATACTTTCCTTTAATATTTTGGTGTGCCCGTCTGAATACAAGTTTAACAGTGCTCTTTTCACAATCAAAACAAGTACTGAAAGATATATTTACATCAGTACCTTCCATCTAAAAGTGATATCTTTAGTTTTTGGCCTTGAAAATCACTACTTTTGGTCACGTTTACTTTAAAGTTGTGCATGCGTTAAGATTGGAGGTATTTTGGTTAACAAAGGTTGGAGTGAAACAGCAGTAATCAAGGTTGAAGTAATTTAGCCTATCAGTCCTTGGTATTCTTTTTTGCTGTTGTTCCCGTGAGTAGGGTCGGTCTGCACGCAAGACATTTAGTATGTGTTCAGTTTTTAATTTTTCAAAAGTTTATTTATTGAAAGTTGATCATTTAACAAAAGTCAATTATTATAATAAAATTTGTGTTTAAATATATTTTTTTAAAAGTCAATTTAGTAAATTAAAAATTGTTTGGATTAGTGATAATTTGTATTTTTGAAATGTGCTTTTAAATATACAATGACCAAGAAAGATATTAATTTATGATTATTTATAATTTTTGTTATATAAATATAATATATTATAATTAAAAAATGTGAAAATTTTAAAATAACATAAAATTTAATAATTTAAATAATAAGAATAAAAAAATAAAGTTTAATATGTTGGGAAAAATTATGAAAATTCACTTACAAAATTAGGTAGCATGGTCATTTACAAGATTAGGAAATCCACTTACAAATTTAAAGAGAGAAAAAAAAAATAAAGGATATCATAGTCATTTATAAAATGAGGTCCCTTTTTAAATGCTTCAACTTGTATTTGGCATTTCAAATCTAACTCTCACTTGCTTTTAGAAATTCACCGTCAAACCCTTTCTCAATCTACATTTTAAAAGTTATTTTGCCTTATTAAAAAAATTCCAAACAACTTTTAACACTTTTTCTTATTGAAGCTGAAATTCATTCAATAACTAAAAAAGTCACAACACAAGAACCTAAATAAACAAAGAAAACAAGGAGCAATCAATCATTATTCATCTCTTGTCCTAAAGTGAGGTGGGGAATGATCAAAAATACAAACATGGCTCTTTATCAAATGGGCTTCCTTAGTAAGATAATGAACATGACTAATAACATCTTTAAAGATAAATTTAATAGACAAAGACCACTTCCTAAGAAATAAATTACAATTATTTTGAACAATCTTGTAATATGAATATTTTTCATGGTGACCTCTAGTGATGAGATTGATGGCTTCCATACTATTTGAGTAGACCTCAATATTTTTGAAAACATTAGAAAAACAGAATTTTAAGCCTTCAAAATAGCCAAGACTTCAGCAACGATAGATGGATAGCTTCCAAATTCACAACATAAACCCACTAACCATTTCCCTATGTCATCAATGATGCATCCTTCACATGTAGCTATACCACCAAGTCTAGAAGATCCATCAACATCAAGTTTGACAAAGCCTTGTGAGGGCTTATGCCATGTATTTGCACAAGTATTGTCAATATGAGATAACTTTAGTTTACCTGCGTATTTATGGTTAGCCATAACTTTAAGGAAACTTTTGTTTAAATCCAGTTGAGTGAGTTGAGCTTGATTGTCAAAAGGATTTTTGCATCTTAATGTCTAGAGTTCCCAATATATATATATATATATATATGCAAAGATTGTTGCCCACGAGAGTTTGATTGTATAGGGGTGTTTAACTTATACTTCTCTCGATTGGCCCGATATTGTCCCGATCATATTGGGATGGCTTTCGTCTCGGCTTGAAAATCATCAGAGACAGAAAAAGGTTTTGGGATGAGACTAGACACGAAACCACTTTCGAGATGTCTCGTCCCAAATTTTATATGTATATATATTATTTTTTATTTTAAAAATATAGATAAAATAACTATATTAATATAATTTATACTTATCTTAATAATATCAAATATAATTTCAATACGTGTAGTTCTTATTTAGAACTAAATTTTTTATATTAATAATTTTAATAACATAAAATAAACAGGGTGATATCTTTGTTTATGATATATTAATTATACTAATATAATTTATTCTTATATCCATCTATTTAATAACTTTTATTTATATCATATTTTTTACTTTATTTTTAGAAAAGTAATTAGCCTAGCACATCTCAACCAAAGTAGAAGAACAATGATTTAATATTGTACTTGGCTTGCTTGTTGTTGTTATTCTTATAGCCTAGAGATTAATTATAATTGCTATTATAATATGTAGTTGTGATTAATGTAATTCAATAATTGACTTTAAATTATTGTGAATTATGTACTTATGTTGTTTTGATTTTAAACTTAATAAATTATATGATTTAAAATTTTAATAAATGTTATTATTCAGATCTTGTTCCAGAATTGTCTGATTTATCGAGATAATAGGACGTCCCAATCTAGTCCTTGTCCCATCTCGATTCTTAACAAATGGGACAACTTTTGGATGGGATGAGTGGGGCAAAAATTTAATCTTGATCTTTTTTTCAAGACAGGACATGAGACAAAGGTGTCCTGATCCCATCCTGTCTCGTGAACATCCCTAGATTGTACTGCTATTTTTTAGGGAGTTCTTTGAGTTCCATTTGATCTACTAAAGGTAATCATGCTGTAAAAATTCAAGCCAACACTCAGATTTCACTACTTATCTCCACGTGTCTTGGCTAATCTGCAAAAACAATGTGCACTGCATCATCCTTCCTATTGCATCTTGTAACTCCTGGGTTAGACTAGTAAGGTCACCCTTACTAATCCTCCCAAAACCCGCAAAACAGTAAGATCAATCATTTGACAAATGTTTCAATTCAAAATAACCAAGTTAGCATAACTCCAAATGGGAGAAACACTTGAACAATTGGGAGAAACAAATTCCAACCATTTTAAAGTTACAATTTAACAATAATATATATTAAATAAAAACTCATTATGTTATTTTATATATTCATTATAAAATTACAATAATACAACAGTATTAATGTCTTAAAAAGTTAAATATTAGATTAAACAAAAATAAAAAATTATGATGAAAATACAAAATTAAATTTTCAGCGGCAATTTTAAATGTTGCCATTAGAAGTCTCACTTTTAGCGGCTACTCTAAAAAGTCATTTCTAAAATTCTCACTTTCTATAGTGACTTTAAAAAGGCACTGCTGATTGTCAACTTTCAACGGTGACTTATATGTCGCCGCTGAAACTTAGAACATATTTATTATAACAAAAGTTTTTAAAAAATTATAACATATTTTAAAATATGTTGACAATCAACGACGATTTTAAAAAGTTGCTGTTGATTGTTTACTTTCTTAAGTCGCTGCTGAAACTTAAACCTTTGGCAGTAACATGCATTTGTCATCGTTGAAAATCTGACAATCAATGATGACTATATATTTTTATTGTAAAAAGTCACCCTTTTAATGGTGACTTTTATTATCACTGTAGATTGTTTATTTTAAACTGTGATTTTTAGAGTCAATGTTGAAAATTATTTTTTTTGCAGTGTTTGTTGTGATTCTCAAGATTCTATTGCAATGTTTTTAGTAATACAAATATTCTGCAGGGATGATTCCACAAAGCTCATGAACTATACAATCTAATCAACAAAATTAATTCCGCAATGCCTATAATCAAAACAGGAACTTAAGGAAAGGAAGTGATTGATCTCAAGAAAATAGTTCATTTTGTCCAACAAATCTAATAAGTAAAACTATTCTTTCTTTCTTATTTTAAATTAATCTCCTACATCATCAGGCAAATTTTCACCACTCAATCTAAAAAGTGAAAGATATTCTTTTTTTCAATTTGTAATAAACTTTCTAGATGATTTATTAGAGCAAACCAATGTAAGAAAGAAAGGACATAAAAAGTTCAAAACTAATGAACTTAAAGAATGTCACTGTCTGGAATCAATTTTTTTAGCCAATCCAAGATATACTAGTGTGTTAAAATGTTTTTTCCTATACCAGTGAATCAGACTTCTTGTCTTGAGTTCCTGGGCGCTTCTTTCTTGGTCTATGCAGAGATCATCAGATAACTTGTAAGGAAGACAAATGACGTACGTCTGCCACTTGAAAGCAACGTGGAAAGTTATTGTTGGGGCTTCAACGAATAGGAGAGGCGCGAATTTCTTTGTGGTTTTTTTCTATCCTGCTCCGTGAATGGTGTTGGAATATTGGCATTTGAAAGGCAAGTACCAATTTAAAGTCGTTCAGACTGTCGTTGGATTAAGGCAAGTTTTTATATTTATATTCCAGCAGGACATTGTTTACACCTTTTTTTCCGTCCCATTTTCACCATAACTTGTACTCGGCGTATTAGTATCAGCGTCTGTTAGATGACATTAGAGATCTCACGACAAATTTCAATGTTTCTTGTACTATTGCATAAGCATGTGTACTTTAATTAGCATTGATAAAACCCTATACTTTAGCTTATGTTGAAGAGATGTTGGACAGAGGGTAATTCATCCGTGCTGATTAGCCAGGGTGGATATATTATCTGTCACAGAACTTAGAGCCGAGCGATCCCGGATTCCATTTTGATTATTCCTAGAGCCCACTGCCGCATCCACATTTGGCGTCACACACACACACACACACACATATATATATATATATATCAATTATACGTGATTTGTTGACTAAAAAACAAAGCCGACACATGAGCATCAAACGAAAGCGCCACGTACTGGCCTAGGACGGGGACCGGGCGTTTCTTTTTAACTACTATTAAGTTAAAATATATCAATGTATCTGCAAAACCCAAGATGAAGTAAGCCGACCCCGTAAGTTAATGGTTGTCTGTATTAGGGGAGACTAACCATACCCATCGGCTATCGCAATATGAACTAAAATAAAGGTGGGTTTCCGAACCCCGTGACATCGCATTGAATTGTTCTAAATAAACGAGTAGGCTAGCTTTAGTTATCATCATACTTCATACATTGAACTAAACCTCTTGTTTACATTCCGACAGATCTAGAGACCAAGTCCTGTCCCGATTTTATCCATATCTCAGGCCATGGCAGCCTCTCCTTCACTCTCCTCAGTCAAATCAAGGTACATAACAAGCCCCACGTGCAATAATTTTCGAGTAATTTGATGTTCACCTTCGCAGTAACTGAAGTGCTAGAGCGATCTTGCTCTCTAAATACTCTACATTTATACATCAATCAACTAGTAAGCATGCGTTTTATGGTGAAGGGCAGGTTGGCAGGGAAGGTGGCCCTTATAACCGGAGGAGCCAGCGGGATCGGTAAACGCACCGCTCAAGTGTTCGCTGAGCATGGAGCCAAGGTAGTCATTGCGGACATTCAAGACGACTTGGGCCAGTCCGTAGCCCAGTCGATAGGCCCATCGCACTGCCTCTACGTCCACTGCGACGTCACTGACGAGGCCCAGGTCAAGAACGCCGTGGACACGGCGGTCAAAACTTTCGGGAAACTAGACATCATGTTCAACAACGCGGGCATATCCGATCCCAACAAGGCCAGGATCATAGACAACGAGAAGGCCGACTTCGAGCGCGTGCTGAGCGTGAACGTCACTGGCGTGTTCCTGGGAATCAAGCACGCGGCGCAGGCCATGATTCCGGCTCGTGCCGGAAGCATAATATCGACGGCGAGCATAAGCTCGTACGTGGGAGGGGCAGCTTCGCACGCGTACTGCTGCGCCAAGCATGCCGTGGTTGGGTTGACTAAAAATGCAGCAGTAGAGCTAGGCCAGTTTGGGATAAGGGTGAACTGTTTATCGCCATACGCGATGGCCACCCCGTTGGCGACCAAGTTTGTTGGGGTCAGCGATGAAGAGCTTGAGAATGCGATGAACTCGCTTGCTAATCTGAAGGGGGTGACCCTTAAGGTTGATGATGTGGCCAACGCGGCGCTTTATATGGCTAGTGATGACTCTAGGTATGTGAGTGGCCATAATTTACTCATCGATGGGGGCTTCAGCATTGTTAACTCCTCCTTTCACATGTTTCAGTACCCTGCCCAGTCTTAATTTGTGTCTCCAATCGCTGTTACATTATTGCCTGTTGGCTGTTGCTTAAGCTCTGTTTACTATGGTTGCGGATTATTTGAATATTGTGGTCTTTATATTGATCGTGGTCTGTGGAACTAGCTAACCGACTTTTGCTTTATTTTTCGTTTTTCACTGTATTAGTATTCATGTACAATAAAGATTCTTTATTTTGCGCATGATAATCTTGGCCACAGCCCTCGAGATCAAAAATTAAGCAGTGCTGGTCTTGTAATGCAGAATCTTTGGAGGTTACTCGGAAGTCCAACGCTTTTGGAACCAAATGTCTGTGAATAATATAATGGAACCGGAAATTACATGGTTACGTTAAGCTGCGCTTTCTTCTCGAAAGTGATCCCACCAGCACTTAGCAATAACAGCAATGACAGTATGGGACTTTCATAAGTGTGACATGGTGGGTCTCCTAGCTCTAGAAATATTTCTAGGTAGATTTAGATTAATCGATTTCTTAAAAAAGAAAAATCAAAGGACATATATCTTTAAATAAAAAAGAGGATAATGAGAAAATATAATTAAAAGGAAAATAATCTTGCAAGTGCACGTTAAATTTCAGCATCTTTAAATCTCTATATATGTACTTATTTACTTCAAAAAGAATTTTAAAGAAGAATAAAAGTGCGCAGCATACCCCCCCTTTTTTTGTCTATCTAAAATATAAACTTCATTATATCAATCGTTTTCTTCTTTATTTGATGAAATGTTATGTTGATTTTAAAAAAGAAGAATAAAACTTCACTATCAATAACACTCATCCATATCATGAAAGGAAGGTCAACAATTTTACCGGGGCAGATGTTGCATCCCTGTTTTTATTCGCCTAGGATAATTAACTTGTTCTGGAGATATGAGTTATATTGTCCTGTGTCCACGAGCAACTTCCTGCAACATTGATAGGATACCTTGAAGTTGAAGGCAGCACTGGTGGAATACATGTTTAATAGGTAAATTTGGTGTCATACAATTGGGACTATACATATGTATGGACTGTGAGCAATTAACTAGCCAGTAACCATTATGCGTAGTAATTTGCCTCTTTTCCACTTCCGGGGAGAGCAGTACTCGTAGAGATCCTTTTCTTTTCTTGCATAGCATGTAATTATGTCGTATCAAAGACAATTTTAGAGGTATAGTTGAGCTTAGCTAAACATGGGTATATCTTTTAGAGATAATTAAAACATTGATTTATTATATTGTAAGGGACTAATTATTTTTATTAGAATCAATTCCCAGGTGGCATCAGAGTTCCTTATATATATATATATATATATATAGAAAGAGTTCTTGTTTTTTCTTTTTTTCCTACACAAGAATATTTGCTTTATTGTTCGTGAGTCATATGGACGATGCACATATATGCTAAATCCTCCCAAGCTGTCTCACCTTTTTACAGTGAAGCTGAAGCTTTTTTTTAGTGTGTTTACAGGTGTGTTTCTTCAGGTATTTCTCATGTGCCTTTTCTTTTTGACTTTCTCCCTCTGGTTAAAGCTGTGCAGAATCGTTCCCCTTCCCTTGATTGGGAAGGTTTTACCTCAGTGGATAGTATTTTATATCATGAGCAAACACTAAGCTTTTGTAGCTTTCAATGGATCCCACGAAGTTTGAACCGTGCTATAGATTGGGTCTCTCATGCAGTGGGGAAGGGGTGTGCTCTTCGGATTGGGTACTCAGCCCCCACCTCCATTGGCTCTTCTCCTAGATTGAGACTTTTTGGAATCTAGGATGTTTTCTCTTTTTAGCACCTGAGTCGTTAGCTGCTTTTTTCTTTGGTTGCTTCTTGTCTGTACTGTGCGTTCTGTTGGTTTTAATGTTAAGTTCTCTTGTTGTTGGCCAAAAAAAAAAAAAAAGGAATACTTGTTCAAATGCAGCCAGAATTATTACTATCCCATTGGGCTGAAAGCCTAAAAGTTCATCAAAGCAGAGTGATACTTTTTTATTTTTCTTTTTAATACAAGATGATGCTTCTTATTATCTATATCTATATAAATTTGATATGTCTGATTAACCATAAATGAACAGTGATTTAACAAAAATGCCTTTGGATTTTTCCTTTTTTTAAATCTTGTACTATTGTAACATTGTCAGATGGTACTTTAGATTTTTTTTCTTTTTTTCTTCTATTTGTTACCATCGAATGGTATAGTACCATTTGACATTTTTATATTTTTAAAATTTGTTATGAATGTAACATTTCCTTTCTTTTTCTTCTTTTCAGATGAGTACGGTACATACGAGACTTATACTTGAAAATGAGAAAAATATTTTATCTATTTTTTATCTTAATTAATGATACATCTCTTCTATTTTTGGAAATTTATATGAATATTTTTTAGTATGATAGTTATAAAATACAAGCCTTTCTTTTATTTTTAAGATTTTATTTTCAGCCACTTGACCATTAGTCGATCATTAAATCACATGTGTTGGACTAAAATATCCTTATTTAAATATAAATCATGTCCAAAAATCATTTAAATTACCAAAAAAATTAATTTTTATTATTTAAATGTATTTATTTTGTATCTTTTTTTAAAATTAAATATTTAAATTGGCCAAAAAATATATTCAAAGATGTAGTGTATGGACTTAATGAAGGAAAAAATAAAATAAAATAAATTTTAATAATCTGGGATAGTTAAACCATTTTAAATAAACCTAAAAGCAAAAAGTGTCAAGAGTCATGCTTGACTGAAAAACTTTTATATGTTTAATATTTTAAACTCGATATAAATTGAGGCTCTATAAATAATGGAGGGAATGTAATATTTTCATAAACTTCATTTTTTAAAAATTGAAGTAGTGTGGTTTAAAAAAGTGGTGTGTAAAATCTACCATTAAAAAATATGAGTGGAGTCTACATTTATAAATTTTAAAAATTTAAACAAGATGTAAAAATAATAAGTTTTTTCTACTTTGAGAGATCATGTAGGATTTTATACTAAAAATTGATGGTAAATATAATATTTTTAATAAAATAATAAGTGTTAGATATACAAAAAAAATTTTATATACTCTCTTTATTATATAAGACATTTTTTGAAGGATTGAATGTTAAAAAATATAATATACTTTTAATTTTTTAAGGTGTAATAATTATCTTTTTTTCAAAATTACTTTATATTTATTTTAGGGTGAAATATCGTATTAAATAGGAATAAATATGAAAAAATAAAATTAATTTAAAGATAAGTAACTATTTTATTAAGTGTGATATTTAGTTAAAAATATTTTATATTTTTTTAACGGAGGGAGTATTTATTACCAACACATGGTTACAAATCAAAATAGTTTAAATGAGTATATATAGAATAAGTTTTTGTTCATAATCTTCAAATACATAAGGAAAAAAATCCATTGTTCTATTATATAAAAGTTGATTATGATTTAAACACCCATGACAAAAATTGACATAATTATGTGCCTCAAGTATGGGCTATAAATTAATCATATAATATTAATAAATTTATCTTTGACTGTACACCTAATCATTTCTCAATAATCATTGTATTACTTGCATATACATATTTGAAATATTATTTTAGTAAACTTACTTCTTTCATTAAAAAGGTAAAATATTTTTTTTGGGTTATTTTTTAAGAGTTAGATGTTAAAAAATATAAAATATTTTTAGTATTTAACGATGTAATCATTAATTTTTTTTAAAAATGCTCATAATAAATAAATTATTTTATATTTATTTTAGTATAAAACACCCAATTAAATAATAAATATAAAAAATGATATTATTTTAAAGATAATTAACTATTTTATTCAGTTGAAAATATCTTACATTTTTTAAAAGATGGAATATGTATTTAGTTTTTTAAAAATACTAAATAAATTAATTTATATGACCAATAAATTTAAAATATTAATAAAAATTTAAAATAATACATTAAGAATAGTAACTATTAGTTAATAATTAGATAGGTGAAAATGAAAATTTAAAAATAGAAGACATATTCGCATTTTGTAACTCTTAACAATTAATTTTTTGAGAGATTCATATAAATTTTTAAAATAAAAAATATTTATAGTTAAGATAAAAAATAATATATTTTACTTTAAGAATATTAAAATAATTTTTTAATATTTATTTTTATTTTTATTTTTAAAACTAAAATATTTTCATGCATCATCAGCGCACATGGCATAAATTTAGTTCTTAAGGTGCTTCTCGGGCTAAAGCCCGTTGATATAAATAATACTTGGTTGTGGCCCGAACAATTATTGTTTTCTTGATCGCACAACGGCACAAGCATTGTGAAAATTCATTGGGCCCATTTCTGTGAGCCCAGATACGGCACGTTGGGAATAGGTCGAAGCTCTTGTCCGACCCCTCATCTTGCAGGTTTCCTATAAGATGCGAGAAAACCCTAATCGTTGAAGTGACGGAGCAGCAGTAGGTTAGCGGATCAGTGCCTCTCTGCCTGCACACCTAGCGATCATCGAACAAGCAGTGTTTCGCTCTCTCTCAGACTCACCATGGGACGCGTCCGCACCAAGACTGTGAAGAAATCTTCGCGCCAAGTGATAGAGAAATATTACTCCCGAATGACCCTTGATTTCCACACAAACAAGAAAATCCTGGAGGAGGTGGCTCTCATTCCCTCCAAGAGGCTCCGCAATAAGATTGCGGGATTCTCGACCCACCTTATGAAGAGGATCCAGAAGGGTCCCGTTCGGGGCATATCCCTCAAGCTTCAAGAGGAGGAGCGCGAACGCAGAATGGATTTCGTGCCCGATGTCTCTGCCATTAAGACAGATCAGGTTGAGGTCGATAAGGAGACTATTGATATGCTCAGCGCTCTTGGCATGAGCGAGATTCCAGGGATTATTCAAGTCGATCCTGTGCCCGTTCAGCAATCCTTCGGATTTGGCCGTGGTGGTTTTGGCGGAGCCGGCAGGAGGTTCTGAGGCCTTTGTGTTGCTCACGCTGGTTTGGTCAGAGTTTCAAGTTCTTTTTGTCTTTTGTTTGTTTAATTTATGTAAGGAATTTGAAAGTACTTTGCGTTTATAGTGAAGGATGTTTGTTAGCTGTGGCTGTTATCAGTTTTTGTGAACTGTAATACTTTTCCTCATACTGCTCTGTTTTATTTTACATTCTTCGTTTTGTTCCTTTCTGGGGCTCTCATACATGGTATTTGATTGGTTAGCCTCTTAGTTCACTAATTTAGTGCTCAATAAATTTAGCTGCAGAATTTTTATTTATTTTTCGTATTCCAGTCAAAGATATAATACTGAGTTGATTGTATCCTGGGGTTGAAAAGTGTTACAACGTTCCTATGTTGAAGAATCTGATCTAAGACCCTCCCAAAAGCATTTAGGCCTTAGGGTAAAATATCTGCATCATTTCATTGTTCACTTTGTAAACAAATGGCCAGATTGATATTGCCTTGCTCCATAACTATTTGAGAATTTGATTTGAATTATTTTTCTTTTTATAACTGTTTGGATTGAGATTGAAGTTGCAATTCATTCATTTCTTTTTTTTTTCCTTTGAGCGCGAATCATTTTTTGTTAGATCGATGCCAAAAAAGAAAGAGCAGGTGAAACATTGTGGCATGGGCAAGACGCAGCCCATCCTATTGATTTAAACACTAAACCGAAATGGCATTTTTTTATAATACAAGGCCATGGAAAATCCTTGTAAGGGAAAGACGAAACAGGTCATAGCAGAGAAAGTTTCTACATCATAGTGGGGGATCATTGTAAATTACAATATTGAAATTGCCTCTAGATGTTTGGTGAGCAAAAAAATGGGCTACGTTTATTTGCTCTGAGATGACAGTTTAAATTTACCAAATTGTCTCTGTCTAACTGTTAGATGTCACATCATGTGTCAGATTAATAATCTCTTAAAAGATTAGTCAGGAAAGAGCATCTGAATCTGGTGGCATCGGCAAGCTTCCAAGAAGCTTGGTCGCAGAAGGGAGATAGACACGCACATTTCAGCTTAGGCATGGTTGAAGGATGCTGCGACCTTCAGAACCATGCTGACCATTGCGGCGATGCTATGGCGTGATATAGGGTAAGAATCCTTAATGCAAAATTTATTGTTTAATCTGAACAAAGCGCTCTTATAAAAGCTTACTAAATTTAATCGAGAAAGTGGCCAAGAGCTGATCATTTTGCTGTCATATAGTAAGAGCACTGTCTGCGAATGGCATTGCGTGAAGAGACATCTGACTCTTCGTTCATGGTGCCAAAAATCAGGCGCCGACCGGGAATTTAATAATTTACCCCCACACACTAAAAATTCCAAGATGCAAGTTTTTATGACGGGTAAAAAAGGTTAATCAACTCGATCAGTCCAAAATATCCAGCTTGTTTTCATTTCACTAATGGGCAGATTATTCTCTTGCAAGGGGGAAATTTTCGTAGATTTAGTGAGCTTGGTTTCTACGTGAATGCTTGTTGTAGTGCGGCACTGAAAAGTGTAAACTTGGCATTTAATTCCACCACGCCCACTATGGAGGCATGGAGAAAACTTGCAACAAGAAAGGATTTTCGTTGGGGTGGACATCGGTGCGTGGTTCTAAACTTTGTTCCTTTTTAGGTGCTTGCATACTCTGCACTATTTTCTGTTTTGGGAGCTAGCCTAAGGAGGCATGAGCCCAAACATAAGTTTGAAGCAGCTCCAAGTTGATATGAATTGTTTCAATCGATCCTGGTGGGACCTAAAATGCCTGAACCTGTTAGCCTTCAACCATTAAAGCCTCGACCTGTTATAAATAGATCAAGACTTTTATCGTGAGGCCTGGGAGCAGCTCAATAACTGCTTGCCTTGTCGATTTATCAATTATCAATTTATGAGCTGCGCCACTCGGCTACAACAATACATTAGATTGCCGTCAATTTTTTACTTATGTAAGATAAACAGGGATCCTTTTTTGGTGATTAAATGAATCAAGTATAGTTCTACATCAGACGCAATAAGTTTAAGAAGTTACGTGTATTTTAAGCTTTCCTCGTCGATATTGACCTGTACATCTGCTAATGGGAGCAGAAGGCAACTATATCGGTGGCTTAATAGTACCTAATGACAGAGAAGCATATGCACTTCCGAACCGTATTCGTCTTACATCCCAATGAAAGGTAATTCTCATGGAATGCTCCTTCCGATCACTTCCTTAATTCCTCTATAATGCACGAAGATCGGACGCTCTTAGCTGTTAGCCTCCATCTCTATCACACGGATTGATTATCGTCCTTTCGGATTTGCTCTATCTTTTCATGCTTCCATGCTTACAAAATTTAGTAGAATCGCCACCATGTCCTTCCATTTCAACACCGGTGATATATTCATTTTCACCAACGGACTAATATGTGATCATCCTCTCACATGCTAGTGCACTTGACATGCTGATGGAATTGGTTGCTCCTAATCAAGCCATAGAATTGGTTACAATCAAATTCATAAACTTAAACAAAATCCTATGTCAATTCCTAGGAATTAGAAAGACAAAAGCAGTATGGTTGAATATATTCGTGAGTATCACCGGATTCCTCGAGTTGATGGGCTGGAATTTTGATTTTATATATTTTCATTGTATAGCTATAGTACGATTAGTTCCTAATGCTTGCTAGGAAGAGGATTGCACAAGTAAACGTTTCACACACATTATGTTTAGGCACTACAACTTCAATTTATAAACATAATTTGTAATATTTACAATTTGTTCCCTGAATAAATTGAAAATATCAATATGATTTTATACATAAATTTCCTGACAAATATACCCCAAAATACCTAAAATTTTAATTTTAATTGGGTCATTTTATGTAAGCTTATTAAGTACTAGTTTTGCATAAATTTCTCCAAATCCCATTTTCTTTTTATGTTGAGTATTTTCCAATTGGATAGCATGTCCTACGTTGTTCCCTTCATTTTTGGGATAGCATGTCCCATGTTATCCCTTCCCTCTTATGATGAGATCATGACTCACAACACAAAAAACATAGTGCTATGTTCACTCAAGCTTTAAGGATGTGAAAAGTTTGATTAGTAAGTCAAGAGTTAAAGGGTAAAAATGCCTCAAAAATTTTCTTAAAGAAACATTGAGTACTCTTACTTTTTAGGGGGAGCAATGTTATTATAAAAGTATTAAAAGTGGAGAAATCTCATTCTTTTTTAACCTTTGACTAATGTTTGACTAATGTATATACAATTGGTGAGCCTTTTTGCACTAGATGGACTCCATGTGGATTAGCATAGAACACCTCACTTGTCCTAGTGTTTTCCGTCTCCCATATGCCTTCTCTCATTTGCAACTAAGCAAGCCTTCTTCATCTCCCTTTTGCTTGACCCTAGATTCACCGTCAAGTTCTCAAACCTCAACCTTGGTGATCGTGAATCTTTGATCGATGGAGAGGTAGGGGTAGATCCGTCAAGTTCTCAAACCCCAACCCTGGAGGTCGCCAATCTTCAATCGATGGAGAGGCAGGGATAACACCCAATCTGAACTCACTTTCATCAGCTTGTTCGTGAAGCTGAACAAAGGTAAAGATAATAGTAGGAGGATGCTGGCTATGATTGCATGGGTGTTCATGGAAGCTTCATTCTCACCTTCATTGTCGAATGCTACAATGTACACAAAAGATTGGCCTTGAATGGGAATTTATCTTTTTTAAGTTTCTAGCTTAGTTTTAGCTTAAATTCATCATCTTCTATGCAATTTATTCATTAAAAAAAAAAATGAGAACTTGGTATCCTGAAGCTCGAGAAGAGTCCTCAATCCCATCTATGGGTTCAGGTAATCTCATCGTTCTTGACGCCGATCCTCTATCTCAATCCTTTTTTTAATTGTTTTTTTGTTGATGCACGTTAAATTCTGAGGACTGTTTTCATATATTGAGTTGAGTTCGTGGTATATTATTGGAATGTTGATTCATATTTCTGGTTTAATGATATGTGTTTATGCATAATCCTTGTTCTCTTAATATCTCTCTTTTCTGCAATCGAATTTCCTACTTGATGCCATAGGTTGTGGCGCTTCCGATATCTTTCGCTAAAGAAGAAGACGATGAAGAATTGTGTGGATGTTTGGAACAAGATGGTGTTTGGTGTGAGGCGTGTTTGGCTTGGTCTCTATGCTTGTCTTAGAGCTCGCAAAAATGATAGTTGAATTAGCATCATCAGCAACAACAGAAAATCAGCATCAACAGAAAATCAGCATCTCTCTCTCTCTCTCTCTCTCTGTATTGCATCATCTTCTTCCTCCTCCTTTTTTGGAAACATCAGCTTTGATTTTCCAATTTTGCTACGGAGGCCACTACATTTTTAGTATATATTCGACGTTTAGGTGTTTGTGGAACACATGATATTGGATACAGAAAGAGAAGGAAGAAGATGAGTGCCACTAATCTCAATGAGCCACCTATATTTCATTTTGTCCAACTTTGATTTTAACGGTCAACGTTCCTTAAATTTTATGATGGGGTAAAACTATTAACTTTTTTAAAGTTTTAAGGCAAAATTGCTTCACTTAAAAGATAAAGATGTTGGCTGCTTCTTTGAGATAACTTCTAAAATATTTTTGCTCTTTAACCTTAGATCTAATTCATAGACAAAACAATTGCAAATCAGAATGATGGGACAGAATTTAATCACAGTATCAGGATAAGTCTAATAAACTAATTGCATGGCTAAGCTATATGGGTGGTTGCATTTGTAATGCATATTATTCAGGGTGAGTTCTTTGTACTCATATAAAATCTGACATGGGTCACATTATTCATGAACTATAGGCAGTGTAACCTTCTATATTTATTGTAGATATATTGATTGATGATATTGATATTAAGTATCTTTAATGTCCTTCATACTACTATGCGGTATCCATAAAACATTAAATCGTTGTGCTCCTATAGATGGACTATAAGCAACCTCAAATTAGTCCAATAATACCTGTCAAGTGGAAGGCTCTTCTATCACCTGAAAGGACGTGGATTGGCAAATCCTTGGGTTCTTATTGTGTTTTTAATGGAAGCATTGAAAGATCGATCTCACTAGGAAGTGCAGTTGATTTTAATTGAGGATGCTATTATAAAAATAATGATTAAACACAGCCCCTCATTAAAGACCAATTTTCTGCGGTG